ACAGTAATTTAAAATCATGTTGGTTCATGCTTTCCTCTCCTGGAATTCATCTGTTCCTTCAGGCATGGGATTTGGGAAGAGTAAAAAGCCTATTTTCTATCTGTGATTCAATTTGGAAGCAGCTCAGGAATCCTCATCCTTATCCAATTTAGCTGTTGCAGGGCTAATTTGCATTGTATCATAAAACAGAATTTAGAAAAAAAATGAACATATTTCTTGAAGAATGCACTTAAGTAATCCCTGAATATTATCAGCATAAACAGAAAGAGAGGAGAAACAAGTAATGCTTCAGTGCCGTTGGGCTGATTCATGTAAAACATTACTTTCTGTAACAAGCATCTCAAACTATTGGAAGTGCTGTTTGACCTCACTGAAGAGAATTTTCTAGCTCTCTTCTTCTACGATTGCCCTCTGAATTACTCTCATGCAAAGCATAGTGCAATTATATTATAATCCTTGAATTGCAGGTGGGTTTTGCTTTGGCAGTTCCATAAGCTTTTCTGTGTCTGGAAAAAATAATAATCCCCTTTTATGAGATCATCTCCTTTGCTTAGCCAGAGCTTTCCCTCTGTACTATGGATTTTAAATAATTACCATCAAGGCTATCCAGGGAAGGGTGGTGGAGGAGGAATGTCCTTAGAGAAATTGAAGCAGCTATTTGTTTACCTGTTGTCACTAGAATTTCTAACATTACTCATACAACAGCCTTATATCAGCCCCTCTTGCAGGGACATGAGAGAAGCATCCCACAGGCATCCCCTGAGCAACATCTCTGCAGATGGCCAATTCTCTCACACCAGAAGTGACAAAGAGCCATGGTGGTACAATGGGTTAAACCCTTGTGCTGGCTGAACTCGAATGCATGAGACAGGGTGAGCTCTCCTCTGTCAGCTCCAGCTTCCCATGCAGGGGCATGAGAAAAACTTCCCACAGGCATCCCCTCAGCAACATCTCTGCAGACAGCCAATTCTCTCACACCAAAAGTGACTTGCAGTTTCTCAAATTGCTTCTGACATGATTAAAAAAACCCCAAAAAAACCAGCCTTTCTACCAGTGCCATAAGCAGTTATCATGAAGGGTCCAGGTTAATATAAAAATATGATTTTTTTCATTATCTTCACGCTTAGGCAGCTTGTGGACCAAGCCACTGTGTGTGTTTCCCCACTATTTCTAAGGTGCTCATCACACTACATGGTTATAGCACTATTTTGACTGCCATGGCAACAGCTTATGGAGTCATGGGATTTACAGTTTACGGAGGGACATTTGTCGTTCTTAGCCAGAGAGTTCTTAGGCTTCCATGGGATGCAGCCACGTCAGTTAAAGTGGAATGATAGTGTTATAACTGTGCAGTGTGATAATGGTGGGCTGCCACCATGTAAATGTTAAAAAAGCATGAAATAAAAGCCTCATAAGGATTTATCAACAATGACATCTTAATATAGAAATGGCTTCCCTTCATAGACTACATAAACAAGAATTCACAAAATCCCAAACTACTGATACAGCAAAGGACCTTTTGGGAAGGTATTTTAAATGTCAAAGCCCACTCTTGAAATAAATTGGCTTAGTAGACCTCTGGGAATGTCACAATATTGAAGTACTAGGCTTGCAATGTGATATTCATTACTCGCTGATTGGATCCTTTTGTTTGAAAAAGTACTACTGAGTTTGAAAGTTTCATTAATAAAGATGCATTTCCAAGGGTAAGCATGGATTGATACAAATTATAGAAGTCCTTCCACTTTTATAGGTGGCGGGGTGCACAACCATGAACACCTTTTGAAATTCCCTCTCTTAGACCACATTTAAACTACAGGAGCTCTCCAGTTTTCACTCTAGCAACTTTACACTTCAGTCTTATACAAATGTTTAGGTTCATATTACTGTGATACATGCCTCAAATCAAAGCAGTGATACACGGTACACTATAGTATTGTCTAAGGCTCACAGGGGCAAATCAGAAAGACAACTGGTTTAGCAACGATCACAACAATATCTATCACTCTTCTAGTTTTCTTCTCACCTCTGAACATTCAATAGCTCTCATCCTGACAGTAGCCACACTAGTTTTGTTTCTTGATTTCAATCAATGCAATGCAGTGATTCTCAACCTGTGTTTTGACCTACAACTACCAGGAATCTCAGCCAGTTTACCAGCTGTTAGGATTTCTGGGAGTTGAAGGCCAAAACATCTCGGGACCCACAGGTTGACAACCACTGATGCAGTGGCTCTTGTTGGAAGATGAGCTATGAAGATTGTCAGGACCACCAATCTGCCCCATAGATACCAAAATCTGTGGATGCTCAAGTCCCATTATAAACAATGGTATAGTAAAATGGTGTCCCTTATATAAAATGACAACCTCAGTGATTACTTGTGGGGTTTTCTTCTCCTGAATATTTTTGAGTTGTGGTTGGCTGAATTAATGGATACAGAATCTGAGCATCAACAGTTGAGCTAGGAAATGCAAACCAATCATATATAATCTCTTTTCTGTTGTTCTTTCCTTACATGCTACTTCATCTGCCATTATTAATAGATACACAATGTCTTCTTACCATCTCAAAACAAAGACAACTCTGGTATAGAAGCGTAGCTTTCTGAAAGCTGCCCCTAAGGTCTCTGCCTGTCTCTTTCCTAAGTCACGTAGCAAATGCAGTTTGGGCCACAATGTGAAGATCTCTGCATTGTGAATTACCACCCTTAGGTCAAACATCTCCGAACTGTCAGAGTGAAATATGAGACAATCCATCGGGTGAATTCCCACAGGTTGTGACTGTTTTATTTTTAAATCTCATTTCGCTAGATTTCTCATTAGACAATGCCACTGAAATTCATCCAAGTTGCAGCCTGCCTTTCCTAACTTCAAGAACATCTATAAAAAGCAAACCGTCATCCACCTAGGATAGATATTAGAGCTGGACCACTCATTACGAGGCTATAACTTTCAAGCACAAAATGGCTCATGCTTCTTACAAGCTGAGAAATTGGACAATTATATTACTAGATTGTTGAAAGTTGCACTTCTAGGCTTTGAGAAAGAAATAGATGTATCCCTGATTCATTCTCTTATAAGAGCAAAAGGCATCATTTATGTTCTTATCTGCTCTCCTTTGAGGCTGAAGAACGACAAGATCAGAAAATACATCTTTTCCTTCCAGTTACAGAAACCTTTGAGTTCTTATGTCCTGATTCTTACATGACCTGGTCTCTCAATTATTTATGGGTCTAAGAGTTTATCGGGACACATCCTCTAAATATCCCAGTACACAGGAATTTTCAAGTTTACATCCAATTAATAAGCTCCAATAGATACATATGCTAATTATGTAGCCACTGAAATGGGGAAAGGCTTCCTATGAAAATTCCCATTGAAATCAATCCAACACATTAGAACTCAGCTTTCACAAACTAACCATGGTCTTTTGACTAGTTTTTTCATGTCAGGAGCGACTTGGGAAACTGCAAATGGCTTCTGGTGTGAGAGAATTGGCCGTCTAAATGGATGTTGCCCAGGGGATGCCCAGATGTTTTGATGTTTTACCATCCTCATGTCCCTGTGTGGTGAGCTGGAGCTGACAGAGGGAGCTCATCCTTGCTCTTCCCAGATTCGAACCTCCGACTTGTCAGTCTTCAGTCCTGCTGGCACAAGGGATTAACCCATTGTGCCACTGGGGGCTCCTAATCTTGATTAGTGATTGTGAATCTTTTCATCATCACAGGGAGTTGGACTGGATGGCCCACAAGGTCTCTTCCAACTCTATGATTCCATGATTCTAAGTCTTGACTCCAAATACTAGCAGAGCTTTAATTAACAGTCTGAGGTCAAGCCAATAGTCCAACAGAGATGGAAACATTAGCAGGATAACACAAATGTCTGTTCCAGGGTCGTAAACTGATTACGCTGAGATCCAAGGTAAGTCCAGAGTTCAGGAACATGGGATAGCAGTAATCCAAAGTCATGGCTTTTAGTACTGACATTGCAGCCAACAACAAGGTGCCACATCTGAGCTCCTTAAACCTTAAATTCCCAGGTTTTACCTGATGTTAGTTCTTTTCTCAGCTAATCTTGAGGACCTGTGCAGCTGAGACCTCTCTTTTTGCAGCTCCTGAAACCTGGAACAATTAATTCTTCATCAGCCTGCTCGGAGGAACCCACTTGCTCTTGTTCAGCAGGCTGAGTAGTTGTTCATCCCATGGATGCTGCTTCAGGGCTTGGCTGAGGGAGTTTCTGGGCACTGCTGGCCTCCAGCTCTACTGCTGAGCCTTTCAGTAGCATCTCCTCATCCACACTTACCAAGCTATCCATTACACATATGAAATTACAGAACACTTGAGGTCAGTCCACTCACTAAAGTCATATTAAGAATAATACAAATATCATGGACTCAGTTTCTCTGAAGCCACAGTTCTAGGCCAGTTGGAAAGTCTTAAGTTAGAGGATGGGGAACTTTGGCTGCAGAAATATTTTTTGGCTACAAACATCCATCACTCTTAGCCAGTAGAGTTAAGGGCAGAATGACAGGAGTTGTAGTATAAAATAATCTGGAAGGTCAATGTTTTGAACTCCTGTCTCAAAACACAATCCCAAAGCTTTACATGTTCATTAACATTTCTCCTGAGCATAGTATAGAAGTGGTTTAGAAGAAATATGTGAGAAAATGGAATGAGAGCCTACTGGTGTCAATAACTCTACAGAAATACTGCTATTTGGGGAATTTTTACAATCGGATTTTTGAGATTTGAAGGGCAGATTTTGTTTTGAGAAAGAGAGGCTTCTGGACTATGTGTGAGGAAAGTGTGCCATGTATCCATCTACTCCTCTGGATTATGGCCTGTGGCTTTTGCTTGTCTTTAACAGCATGGAGATACAAGGAAAAGAAAGCAGAATTATAGAGGTGGACGGGAGCTCAAAAGTCATACAAAAACCAAGAAATATACTGAAAAATATCTCCTAGACTCCAACATTTTTGCAATAGTTGGTATAAATTCAAACTTGTTTTAGTTTGCAATTTTATTTATATTGAGTTAAATCCAATGTTAATCTTGTCTACTTATAGTGAACCCAATGTAATGAATGGGAATGATTTGTCACAGTGCAACTTCCATTTCAACAGATTTACTCTTTGTACTTCATCATGTTTTTCTTTTCTGTAAAGCTTTCTAAATAAATCTGCCATTGTTTAAGGAACCTTAATATATGACCACCTCTCCACTAAAATCTCACTGAGTTCTGTGGTGTGTCCTTCTGGGTAATGTAAACTTATTTTTTTACAAAGAGATTGCATACATTGGTAACACTGCCATTCCCAGGAATTTCTGTAATTTTACTCAGTTGACTTTCTGAGGGGAGGAGTTTACCCCACAATACAAGAGCTTTTTCAGACTATCAGCCTGAAAAAAAATCAATTTTCTTGCCATTTTCTCAAACCAAAAAGTCCAGACAACCCCAATTCAGTGTCCACAGCCACTTTCTACTTCGGTTTTCTTTATAACAAGGTCTATCATATCTTTGCGGCTTGATAGTTCTTCTTTTTCCTCTTTGGGGATGAGCTCTTCTGGGTCCACACTAATGTAGAAATATCCCATGATGGAGAAAATGACAAACACGATGAAGAGGAGAGCAGCAAAGAGGACAAACTCGACCCACTGGAGAAAGAAAAGTCTCTTAGAAACATGAAATATTGTACTCACTTACTTAAAATGCAGATACCTTGCTTTTTATCATGGTGTACAAACCCATACTGCAAAATTATATAACCTCTACATAATATATCCAGGTGGATATTTTAGCAGCGTACATTGTAACATTATTTAAAAACGACTGTTCTATAAGTATGAGAGAATCCTCTACTATGTCACACTAAATTCTTTTGACATTGTAAGACAGTTTGATCCTGCTGTACTTACAAAGCATAGAGCTAAATCAATATTGAAGAATCTGCCCTTAGTCACTTTGCTGAGACTTCACATTGCCTATTTTCTGGAAAACGTTTGGAAAGTTATTGAAGGCTTTCATGGCTAGAATCACTGAGTTGTTGTAGGTTTTTTCAGGCTGTATCCTCACAACCTCTGAGAATGCCTGCCATACATGCAGGCAAAACATCAGGAGAGAATGCTTCTATAACATGGCCATACAGCCCAAAAAACCTACAACAACCGTTTGGAAAGTTGATTTGGGAAGCAGCAAAAGATCTTTTTGACACCTCTCTCTCATATATATCAGATCCGTAGAAGAAAGTGTGACTATTTGATAAAGAGGAAGGCCCATCTTTGGTTGTCCACTTTATATCAGGTACAATCCAAGATGGTTTTGATATTCCATCCAGTTCAGCAAGTTCAAATGCACAGTAGTAGTAGATTTCCTATGCATAATATTATCCAAATAAGTGCCTGAAACAGCTCCAAATAAGCAATGGGGGCGGTTTGATGTTGTAGATGCATGTTAGAAGATCTTGGAATGTTATTTTTGGGATCACAGTATCCCTTGGCCATCAGCCTCCTGGCAAATGCTGCTTTGGGGATTCTGGGAATGTTTGTCCTCAATATGTAACTGTTCTAAACGCTGCCAACTACAACATGATTTCAGCAATTCTCATCAATATAGTAAAATCTTCCTCTGTGTCTATGTGTGTCAAAGGAGAACAGAGATCACAGGAACTCCTGCAGCCATATATTTGTTGTTAAATGCATCTAATGGTGATTCTATGGTTACAAACTCCAAGTCCCCCTATTATTAACAGTCCTCCTCAGGTCTTGCAGACTCAGGGCTTCCTTGATTGGGTGTATCCATCTGGAATGTGGTCTTCCTCTTTTCCTACTGCCTCCCACCTTCCCAATCATGATTGTCTTTTCTATTAAATCATGTCTTCTGATGATGTGTCCAAAGTATGACAGTGTCAGTTTAGTCATTGTGACTTCTAGGGAGAGTTCAGGCTTGATTTATTCTAGGACCCATTTATTTGTCTTTCTAGCTACATATACCTACAATCTAAAAGCCCCTTTGCACAGACCTATATTTCATTAGAAAGAGAATGAGTGCATTTGAACTGGATAGCATGCCCTCCAACATTTCACAAAGGAACGCTGGAACATCTCTGCCAAAATAACACCAAAGTGTGACCAAGATGGAAAAAATTAATGAGGAAGATTGGGCAAAAATTAAGAAACACAACTTCAATTAGCATTCATCTGAGCCTACAGGGAAAGACAAGATTCTGCCTCTTCCTCTTCTCCCAATGAATTAACTTACTGCAAACTCCTTTGGTACTTTGATCTCACATTGCAGCAGTTGAAGTAAACTGGAAAAGGCAGAAAGGAGGAAGAGGAAAGAGAAAATAGGCTCTTTTTGAAAGCATCAGAAGAAGCAGAATAGCCAGGATTGTTCCTGTCAAATCAGGACAGTTGGAGGGTATGTGATACTATCCATGTGGGAGTAATTCTGTAGCACTACCACATCTGCAAACTAGTCAGATGAATCTAGTTTAATTTGCTCTTTTATTATTTCCAGTGGTTTCTTTCTACAGACATTTTCCAGAAGTAAACATGTATTGTTACTGCTACACAACATACCAACACATGAGCTCAGCTAAATGTCTTGGCCTTAATGGGTAATTTTTTATTTTTTATTTCCCCCCTATTAATTTGTGAGAGAGGGCACTAAATTGGAAGGGGCACTAATTGCATTCTGCCCTGTTTGTTGCATCAGCTCTTCCACTTAATTAGTTAATTGCTCATTTGCTCAGTGGCCTCTTTCTCTATTATGGAGGTTAATCTGTTACGTTGGAGACGTATGCCTCCCCCTTGGTGCAAGTTACTTACAAAGTTACTTTTGCATTCATTAGTCAAAGGAAATATGCATCAGAACCATTGGTACTTGAGTTTTTTAATTATGCTTTAGGGCACAGAGGGGAACCTTTTCATCTCCTGTTTCGGATTACAACTCCCACTATCTTATTAGATTTTCAAGTTTTCCTCTGCTCACTTGAATTTGGCTGCAATGTATTTGAAAAGACCCTGTTTCTAATTTGTGTACCTTCATTTCGGTTTTGTGTGTGTGTTAATTTTTTATTAACCCAAGATGTGTGAAAAGACCTTTTTATTCAGGAAGACTTATGGTAGCGATTGGTTGTTGTGGAAAAGTCTTTTAACAGATGAGTGCTATGTTTTTGAAAATGTGCTTTTATCTGAGTTTTGATTAAGTTACATTTTATGTTTTGACTTTTGGGTTTTTTAAAAAATTTGTAATGTTTTAAAATCATATTGTGAATTGCCTTGAGATCCAGTCGTGGGAAAAAGGGAAAGTAAATATAATATAAATAAAATTGACCAATTCACCAAGGGATGGAATGAATGACGTTTGGCAATGCCTTTTGTTAGCAGGCAGAGCTTGGCTGTTCCTGGCAGCTCTGGGATGACACCTTAGAGCCATGGAGTAAAGTTAAAAATGAAAACTCTCATTAAGCCAAGAAGAAAATGGAGTGATCCACAGTTCTCTCTTTACTCCCAACAAGAAGATACAAATCCTTGAAGCTTCTGGGCTTTTTTGTTGCAATTATAGCACTGTGGGGTCTGTGGTAGCGAAGTGGGTTAGACCGCTGAGCTGCAGGACTTGCTGACCAGAAGGTTGGTGGTTCGTGCAGAACAGTCGTGCAGGCCACATGACCTTGGAGGTGTCTATGGACAATGCCAGCTCTTCAGCTTAAAAATGGAGATGAGCGCCACCCCCCAGAATCAGACTCGATTATACTTAATGTCAAGGGGAACATTTATCTTTACCTTACTTTAACTGCCATGATAATATCCCATGGAATCCAGTGGAATGTTTTTGGAAGGCTTTCCGTAAACTAAGACCCTACATAACATCACCATAGCAATTAAAGGGAAATTGTGCTATAACTGTAGGTTACTGGTTAGACTCCGAGAACTAGAAATCCAATTGCTGTGCTATATGTAGTATGAGAACTAGGAATAACATTTCATGGAAATGAGGATTGCCTGGTCAAACTTCACTCCACAAAGGTTTTTTTTGTTGCTATTTTGTTTATTAAGTTACAGTCGGTAGTTATATGTCGTCCAATGTGACTTGTCTTGTAAATTGTTTGTATGGTTTTCCTTTTGGCATTGAATGTTTGCCATATTAGTTAGAAACAGCCTTGCGTCTCTGCAGGGAGATAGGGCGGTCTATAAATAAAGTTTTATATTATTATTATTATTATTATTATTAATAATAATAATAATAATAATAATAATTCATACAATGACATTTACCCTGGGTGTTTCTTGAAGAGAATGTTCTGAAAGAAGAGCAGATTCTCCTACAAGCAACTATTGTGTTAGGACTGTTGATCAAATAGTTTATCTCATACCTGTTCCAGAGGTGCAGCTTGAGCAACAATTAGCACAATAGCATTTCCAAAGGCCACAGTCAACAGCCAGCCTGCCTGTACCACCGATTTCATGCTAGCAGGAGACTGGGGGGAAATTAAATAGAAAACACCTGATAAGTACTGTATATCTACTCCCAAACATTTGAACCTTGTCATTCCCACTGAATACTACACTGAGACTGAACACAACCATTATCCTGCTCTGTAAGAAAATATCTTCATAGCTCCAAGGGCTAGTCCACCCATGGATACCTATCCCTTGGTTGTTCATCTCAGTGCTTGATGACTTACACAGCCAAATAGAAGTAACTCAGTTGAAAAACACATCATCCTGAGTTAATGCAGCAAGACTTGGAGGTTCTAAATTGCTATCTAAAAGTTCATATGAACACCAGAACTTGATGCTTCAGTCATCAAATGACTGTAATCTCAGTCTGAGCAGAAAATGACCTCAAGAAGGAAAAGAGACTTTAAGAATCCCTACACACTATGTAGTTACATCACTATCATCCCACTTTGACTTCCATGGCAACATCTACAGTAGTTCTCAACCTTTGGTCCTCCAGGTGTGTTGGAGGACCAACAATTCCTAAGAGCTGCACAACTGGCTGGGATTTTGGGAGTTGAAGTCCAAAACACCTGGAGGATCCAAGGTTGAGAACCACTGTCCTATGGGATTTGCATTTCAGGGAGGGGTCTTTCGAATCCTATGCCTAGGAGCTTCTCTAGTGTCTCTGGGCAAACTAGAAATACCAAGTTTTCAATGGATGAAGATTGTTGTTGTTCATTCGTTCAGTCGTCTCCGACTCTTCGTGACCTCATGGACCAGCCCACTATTTTGATACCCATTTTTCCAATTTACAACTTTGGACCTTATTGCACCCCCCCCCCCAATGCCATTTCAGCAAAGGGCAAGAGGGATCCTCTCACCTCTGCAGGAGTCTACTGTATACCATGCAGCTGTGGACAAGTCTACATAGGGACCACCAAACACAGCAATGCTCAGACATGAATCAAGGAACATGAAAGGCACTGCAGGCTACTTCAGTCAGAGAAGTCAGCCATAGCAGAGCACCTGATGAACCAACCTGGACATAGCATATTATTTGAGAACACAGAAATGCTGGACAACTCTAACAACTACCATGTCAGACTACACAGAGAAGCCATTGAAATCCACAAGCATGTGGACAATTTCAACAGAAAGAAACAATGAAAATGAACAAAATCTGGCTACCAGTATTAAAAAAAACTCTAAAATCAGGACAGTAAATAAAGAACAGCACTAAAACACAGGGGAACTCCAGACAGAAAACAATCAGGAAGAGCTAATCACCTTTCAACAAAGGATTCCCCCAGGCAGTAACAAGCCACACCTAAAAATTGTCAGGCCATCAAATGCTAATCAAAGTAGCCAATTGAAACATTCACACCTAGCTCCAACCAACAAGAGTTCTTTCTCCCATCCTGGACTTTCTCAGAACCTCTGAGGATGCTTACCATAGATGTGGGTGAAACATCAGGAGAGAATGCTTCTAGAACATGGCCTTACAGCCTGAAAAACCTACAACAACCATGTGATGAGATCCTAAATCTTAGAACGGTGCTGTTTATGGATTCTTTCATTTATTGCAAGTTACAAATTCATTTACCTAATTGTTCTTTTAAAATATTTTAATAGATTTAAAAATATAAATGAAAATAAAAGGGGGAAAGTTAATAAGACATGGGGGGGGGGGTAAATGCACAGAATATAAATGTGACCTAGATATATATTAATGACCATATGTCCAAAAATATTTTCTTGCAGTCTATAGAATACAATATTGAGCCTAAGGCAGACCACATCTTATGTTAAAGCAATAGTATTTTATTCTGTAGACCACAAGGAAATATGTTTGGGACATATGGACAAGAGAAGGGCAGTCATGCCTAAATTCTCTAAAGGCACTAAATACTGTGTGATCTTGGGTGCTGAGAAGAGTTCGTATTGGTGAGTATTTGAATGGAAGACTACCTTCAAGTATGGTGTGCTGAAGGAAGGAACTTGCCTCTGTGTATTCCTTGCCTAAGAAAACCTTGCGAAATTTAAGAGATCATCATAAATTGGCAGGTGACTTGAAGCTCACACTTACCCACAAAGTGGAGCCAGTCAGATATTAAACTACAACTCCCAGCATCACATGTCAACACAGCTAATAGAATGCTGGGAATTGCAGTTTCTCCCACCCCGATATATGGCCTGTATGTTTCTAGGTCTTAAGGGGTCATTTGGTATTACTTTGTATACAACAGGCCTTTTTTTATAATTGCCTAATAAATTGTAAGGGAGGTGATAGCCAATGCTAATAGTTCCATTTACTCCCGGAAACTTTCATATTGTCCAAGAGAGTAATTGCTCTCATTGTAGTTGTGCAGGTCATGGTTTCTATCTGTTCGAACTAGTTCAGACTTCAAAATATTTCTTTTCCAATATACGTTAACTTCCATCCCTGTAACAGATTGCAGTGCCTATAAATGTTCATGTAAAGATTTTCCCCACTATATACTGTCCTGTACTGTTCACTTTCAGATTAAATCACTTTTCATGTATGTGTCAGAAGATGATGTTCTTAAGCCAAAGCCTTGAAATATTGCACTTAGAAGATTTTCTCTCTCCTGTAGCAAAACATTTTTTTGGACAGCAGTTTTTTTGCTTTTACTCCTCTTGTCTTAATCAATAGTCTTGCAGAAGATTCATCCCACTGCTGGATAGGTAATATGCAGCCTATGAGCCAGATCTAGAAACCTTAACCTGTTTTAAAAGGGAAGAGACCCCAATAAACCTCCCTATAACACCCACCACTGCAAGAATATCCCTGTGGGTAACAAAATTAGGCAATTCCAACTGGATGGCCCCCTACGAGGGTCTTCCTCTAGGGGCAAACCATTAATGGGTAACTTGGAAGTCCCTGATGTGCCATGGTGGGCAAGCATACAGATTCTGCTCCACAATCACACAAGGTGGAGGATTCTTCTAGATCAGTGGTTCTCAACCTGTAGGTCCCCAGGTGTTTTTGGCCTACAACCTGTATAACTTGGAAGTCCCTGATTCAGAAATGGAGTGGGCAGATCAAAAGTCCTGGCAAAATGGCACTACTTAGAACCTGTGGGTCCCCAGATGTTTTGGCCTTCAACTCCCAGAAATCCCAATAGCTGACAAACTGGCTGAGATTTCTGGGAGTTGTAGGCCAAAACACCTGGGGACCTACAAGTTGAGAACTACTGATCTAGAAGAATCCTCCACTGTGTGTGATTGTGGAGCAGAATCTGTATGCTTGCCCACCATGGCACATTGTATTCTATAGGAGTATTCTTCCCATCATCTCCAGAGAGCAGTATCAACCAAAGGACTCTGGATGAATAAGGACTTCATCCCATGCAGTCTTCTCTCATTTTCTCTGCACTGTCAAAATGGAGGCCTACGGAGGCCATCACATGATGCAACATGGATGTTGCCCATGGGACTCTATTGAGGCAGCACAGTGAAATGGAGGGAAAACTGTGTTTTCAGGAGTTGGGTACTACCCAACTCCCAATGAGTGAAAATGGAGAGAAACCAGATAGAAGCAGGGAAAGACAGATAAAGAACTTGCAATGTCAACTGACTTGCGCAACAGTAGGGAACAAAAGAAAACAGTTTCCTCCACTTTTCACTGCTTTCCCCCACGTCATGTTGTGAGGTCCTATGAGGAGTTGGGGCATAACCATGGGAACACAACTGTATTTGTTTGATCAAAATATTCTCTGGAACAAATTTTGCATATTTTTCAGATTTAGGCTTACCATCAAATATAGGTTTTACCATTTAATTCAGAGGTTTTCAACCTGTGGGTCCCCAGATGTTTTGGCCTACAACTCCCAGAAATCTCAGTTTACCAGCTGTTTGAGTTGAAGGCCAAAACATCTAGGGACCCAAAGGATGATAACAACCACTGATTTAATTAAACTTACTTTTGTTTTAAGTCTCTTATGTACTTTGGTTATACCCACTCATTCCCTCATTGTTTACGTGAACTTGAGGCCAAAAGGTTATATTTAAACTGTGTAGCAGAGATTGCTCTGCCCTTTCCCCAAGTGGTTGCTTTGAGCATTCCAGTCCTTTCAACATTTCAGTTATGTCTGCTCAAAGGGACAGAAAGCATAGAAGTGGGATAGGTACTGGACTTGCTATTTGCTCCATCTGCTCTCAGCTTTGGAAGACCTGGTGAATAGCAAACCTCTCTCTTGCCATACCCCTACCCAAATCCTCCAGACATGGGCATTTATTCTCTGTGCATAAATGTCAAGTATCCTATGTAGTTTTTAACTGTAATTTTAATTGTATTTTTATGCTTCATGACACAAATATGTGTTTTTTATTTTTATATTCATATGATATCTATATGCATTTGCCTTGTTCTTAGTTTGTGCTGTGTTATGTTTGCTGTTAGCCACATTGAGTCACTATATTGGGAAAATGGTGGAATAACAATAAAGAAAATAAACAAATCCTACCTGAGAGTAAGAGAAGGCAAGACCTGTGATGGAGAACATCACTTCACCAGCTGATATTAACAGGTATTGTGGAATCTGCCATGAAATATGGACATTATTGGCAGCAATATCTTCTGTCTTTGATGTCTGGAAGCCCTTTACAGAAGTCTGAGTTAGGAGAGAAAGAAGACATGTAAGGCAGTACAAGATGTCTATTACACTCATGTTTGTCCACTCAGAATAAAAGAAGCACACACACACATAATTTATGCATACACTAAAAACCACTTTATCATTCATTTAATTTTGATCTGCAGCACAGTGTGGTAATCTTACCTTCTCTCCATTATATTAAGGGATCCCACCTCAATTCCAACAGCAAACCATATAATCTAACTGTTCCCTGGGTGGCCTATTTCTGGAAACCTCCCCTAGTTGTGAGTCCTAAAGGAGAAAACTAATCAAATCCATTCTCATGGGTTGCTCCCTTTCCCATCCCCGAGTCCCATGACCCAATGGAGAAATCAGAACTCCCTTTAATAAAAAGGAGCCTGTAAGTGCTCACCACATATTGCCCAAGATTGTACTTCCTCACATTAAAGTGCTAAAAGTGAACAAACATTAATTACTGCAATTAAATGTTAATTTAACATAGCCTACTTTAATTGTCAAAGCCAAAATCTCATTTTAAAGCACTAACCAAACCTAATTTCCACATAGTATCATAGAGAATTCCCCCTGTAAAGGCAAAAGGGAGAAGCAAAATTCCTATCCGGCCCCAAAAGGCAACCAGCTAAAGCTTGAACTAGCTTATAGGCTGGGTGGGCAGACCAAAAAATACTGAAAAACAGTAGAAGAGGAGTAAAGAAGGAGTTATAACCCATTATGCTCCCCTCCCCTTGTGCATCAACACAAATCACTGGCTGTATTTTCCATAAAAAAATCCTGCTTCCTGCGGGGCAAACGATGCCCCTCCAAGTGTTTACTTTCCAGACAATGTGAGTTAAGGAAGGGCCCAGGGGGCAAGTGGGTGGGTGGGTGGGTGGGTGAGGATTAAGGGTTTCTTTTGGAGGCTAGACCAGTGTTTCCATTTGGGTCCATTATACAACCATTAAACCAGTGGTTCCAAACCTTTTTTTGGCCAGAGACCATTTGATCAGAGACCACTTTGACTAGAGACTGCTTTGACCAGGAACCCCTCTCCAGCATTAGTACCAAAAGGGTTACAAATCGGTTTTTGGTCAACTTTACATTCAGTTTGGTTATTTGGAGTGTTGATTCAGAAAACTGCATTGGATGGACCACATCAGCTCTAGTTTCTGATACAGAAAATATGCCATCCAGTAGTCGCCATCTGCTCACCCACAGAAAACCATATTTAATAAGTCTCGGCACTATAAGAAGGTTTCACGAAACCAGTCACTCTTGTTGCAATGGTGTAGTAACAGTGAGGCCGCAGACCATATTTTAGTTCTTGCAGACCACTGATGGCCCGCAGACCACAGGTTGGGAACCACTGCATTAAACTCTGCTGTTAGATTGAAATAGTCACATTAGAAATTGCACCAGTCTGCTTTTACTGGGAAGGTTGCTAGATGCACTTAATCGCTATAAGGGACAGAAGCAACAAGGGAGCTGTTTCAGAAGGCTAAAAGAAGCCAATAGTAATTGTTTGCATTACTCACTGGACTATGGGAAAATGTCACAAAGCGCTTCAAAAGAAGTTGGGAGCTGACAAAAGACGGGGTATTGAAGATAATGATTCTAGTAATTTACAAACTGCAGTTCATCTATACTTCCATGGTGTCATGTATATCATTTAGTTTAATTATGCATATGCCACAAAGCACAACAGATCCAGAAGCTGAACAAACCATGTAATTATTTACAATAGCCAGATTGGAGAAGATCAATCACTTGGTCAATAGAAAGACAAATATGTGCATGCAAGGAAGAGATACTGTCAACAGAAATTTCCAAGGAGCCAAACTGAATGGCAGTTCTTTATCATCCTGCCACACAGAGAGAGATTCCTGATTTTTTTATACCAAAGTAAAGTAGTTCATCTCTTATTTGTAATATAGTGCTCCTGTATTGTTGAAGTATAATGCACATGGTAATGGAGCTAGTTCATTACCTTCAATCCATCCAATCTAGAACAAGATTGCTTGGAGTTAAAGACTGCATCACATGCTATCTTTGTATCTGGCATGGGGAAGCTTTGGCTTTTCTTGTCTTGTTGGAGTACAGGTCCCTAATCCCTAGCTATTGTCATGCTGTGTGGGGATAATAATTATTAGATTATTAGAATCCAATTATATCTTGACAGCTAGAAGACTGCCTCTACTGGTGTAGATGTCTTGTGTACACATTGCCTGTAATGTGTGAGAAATTATTTGTTTATTTTTGTACATAGTAGAAAAAATGATGATTGGCAAGGCAATGGCCTCTGTGGGATTTATTTGTTTATTTACTGGATTCATCCTGACTTTCTTCCACAAAATGGTACTCAAGGGAGCCAATAATAAAACTTTCAATAAACAATTAAAAGACAATACAAATTAAAACAAGAAAAATTAAAAATTTGATTTAAAATGTATTGCGCCTCCAGGGGTAGATCCCAGATGAATGGATTGAAAGCAAAGCAAAGGAGATTCTGGCTAGTAATTAGGAAGGAAGTCCTGATGGAAAGAGCTGTTTGATAATGGAGCTCTGTTGGAGATTTTACATAGAAGTTGAGTGGTAATCTGTCAAAGATGCTCTGGATTCCTGCACTTGCCAACCATCTATAATGAATTTAATCAATAATGAATTAATATCTGAATAAGGTGTAATAAAGCAGCAGGGCTGATTTTCTTGCCAGACAGAAACTGCTCAGATTGGCCAAATTCAAATTCTATACTGAGAAACTGGGCATAGCTTACAAAAGTTTTTGGATAGCAAAGCTATAGCAAAATATGATGCATTTAGGAAGAAGAGAAGGAAAAAACAGGGGGAACATAATTTTGTCAGACCCTTAGGATTTATGGGAGGAAATATCATTTTTGCCAGGAGGACTTCCTTCTCCTCCTTCTCTATTATCTCTATTGAGCTTTCCCCATAAAAGGGCTCTCTCATCAAATCTATCTGCCCATGAATCTATCCATTCATCTAGGTTCTTGTGGGTTTTTTCGGGCTGTAGAGCCATGTTCTAGAGGCATTTCTCCTGACGTTTCGCCTGCATCTATGGCAAGCAACCTCTGAGGATGCTTGCCATAGATGCAGGCGAAACGTCAGGAGAAATGCCTCTAGAACATGGCTCTATAGCCCGAAAAAACCCACAAGAACCTAGTGATTCCAGCCATGAAAGCCTTCGACAATACATTATCCATTCATCTGTTCATCAGTCTGTTTACATACCATCCAAACTGATAGCTTTGCAACTCAACCTGATGCATATTTATTGAAAGAGACATCCTGCTGTGTTCAGCTGCTCTTGGAAATGCATAGGCTTATAGACAGTGTGTGTTATACCTTAAATATTTCAGTATTAGAACAAAAGAACCAGAACAACTGAATGAGTTCAGAGGGAAAATAAAAATACATTGTGTTACCACTTCTGTTAATTCCAGGACACACTCTAGGCACAATGCAACCAAAGCCAAGCAATCTTTCAAGGCTGTGCCAGGTTTGAGAGGACCTCCAGGCAACATGACTTCTAGGTATCTCTGCCAATGCTACCCAGGGGCATTTGTTGTTGTGTGCCTTCAAGTCATTTCTGACTAATTGTGACCTTAGGGCAAACCCATCACTGGGTATTCTGGGCAGAATTTGTTCAGAGGGGGTTGGACATTGCCTTCCTCTTAGGGTGACTTGTCTTAGGACCACATCACATGGCAAAAAGGGGAGGAAAGTGTGGGTAGCTCAATCGGAGCTGCCCAAACAACACTTCCAGTAGTGGAGAAGAAAGCTCTTTTCAGTGCTTCCCTATCCAAGCCGTGCATAGAAGTGGCAAAATGGGGCAAAAGGCCCTATTAGACGAGCTCCTAAGTTCACTCAGTGGTTTCCATGACTGAGTGGGGCTTTGGACCTTGGTTGTATTCCTTCACTGAAACCACTACACCATGTTGGATCTTGTCTAGGGGCCCCCCTTACTACAAACCTACTGGCAGAGGCAGTGTGGGTGGGAGAACCACTTAGTTCAACAACAGGGATATCTAGCAGAGGATAGAAAAATAATGGAAGCAGAAAAGCAACCAAAGTGATCCCAGACCTTTAATGGTGATGTAGATGAGAAAACTGTAGCAGCTGTTGCATGTTACACAATCAGGTAACAAGTCTCACCTGCTAAACTTCCCTCTTGTACACCATCATTGAAAGGACAGAAGACCGCCCCAATTTTCAATTGGACCCAGAGAAATTCTTGAAAAATTGGCAGTAGTTGCTTTTCTTGGAATTCATACAAGAGGGGGAGAAAACATGAGGTCAAAGGATTGTGTTTTAAATAAATAAATAAATAAATAAATAATGTTGCTGTCTCCAGAACTTTTGAACATTTTTAAAAAGGTTTTTAAAAAGTGAGGTTAGTGTCACCAATGGTTTATCCTTATATTTGCTCCCCCAGGCCAAGTGCTAATACTAGTCCTGTAACCAATTCATGTCAAATCAGAAATGCATCCCATGGAGTTCAGTGGGGCCTATTCACAAGTGCTTGTGCTTAGATGGTTGATGAACATCCAACTGACAAAACTCTTTCCCATTGGGATGGAAAAGGACTTAACTTTGGCCCATCATGGCTTGCGTTTACATGATTTTCGAGCAGAATGACTATAATTTGTATATCTTATTCTGCCTATAGCCAGTGTTTTATAACTATGACTTGTTGACTTTCAGTAAACAAAATTATTTCACTTCAACAGCTGGCTTTGGAACAGAAGCACGTAGTGTATTCCTAATAACCACAATATCAGAAGGGTGATTGAAACAAAAATGAAAGGACAACTTACATTTGTTATAACAACTGTGTAAGCTGCTCCAAAATCAAGGAGGCCTAGGTGTAGGATGGACTCTTCTCCTCCCACTCGACATTTCACATGGTTGTATCTGGACATGGAGAAAGCATACAATGGTTTCTGGTTAGCTTTTGGGGGCTAAAAATGCACAAAAAACAGCTGTTTGCGGGCTTCTTCAAACTGATTAGGGACAATGAGTAACTCATGCTTTCCAACTGACTTGAAAGGACAGTGTGCAGTTAGCATTTTAAGTTCCAGTGCTGTCCTTTGAGGGACAATCATAGGGCAACTAATCATCATTTATTTTTGCACTATTGAGTAAACGGGCAGCGGGGTTGAATGCTTTATTTGTTTATCTCCCCCTGACATATATCTTCTCATTTTGCAGCTCTGAATTTCTTTCAGATTAAATCATGTGTATGGGGCTGCCTCTCTTGCAGAGTCTAATGGGGAATTTAAATTTGCTTCTAAAACATCTTTTAGGTTATTTATTTGATACATTAGTGGGCTTTCAGGATGTCCCTGCTCCTTTGCGTACACAGAAGTCTATGAAAAAGACTGTGGCATAGCTTGTTTTATCTGAATACAAAAGCACTATACAGAATGAGAGTAAGGATGTTACTGATGTTATTGCACAAAAACTGGACTGGAATGTTTTGAACTAACCCAGGAGTGAGGAAGCTGCAGACTTCTACTTTGTGTTGGGCTGCAACTCCTATCATTTCTGACAATTGGCATGTCATCTGGGATTCACAAGATTTGTAGTTTGATGACCCATGGAGGTGCCCCTTAATTTCCACTTGTTTCCAAAATGCAAGAATAAATAGGTAAGAAGAGAGTACATACACCCCTCTTGAGAAGGAAGAAGGTCATAGGTTCAGTCTTGAGTGCCTCTAGTTCTAAGGCCTCTGAGAGGAAAGTAAGAAAATACTACTTTGTATGAAGGAACAGTGGAGCTGCAGTAAACAATGCCAAGCAAGGAGGACCATGGATAATGGTCCTCCTAGCTCATATAAGAAGAAGAAGAAGAAGAAGAAGAAGAAGAAGAAGAAGAAGAAGAAGAAGAAGAAAGAATCATAGAATCATAGAATCAAAGAGTTGGAAGAGACCTCATGGGCCATCCAGTCCAACCCCCTGCCAAGAAGCAGGAATATTGCATTCAAATCACCCCTGACAGATGGCCATCCAGCCTCTGTTTAAAAGCTTCCAAAGAAGGAGCCTCCACCACACTCCGGGGCAGAGAGTTCCACTGCTGAACGGCTCTCACAGTCAGGAAGTTCTTCCTAATGTTCAGATGGAATCTCCTCTCTTGTAGTTTGAAGCCATTGTTCCGTGTCCTAGTCTCCAAGGAAGCAGAAAACAAGCTTGCTCCCTCCTCCCTGTGGCTTCCTCTCACATATTTATACATGGCTATCATATCTCCTCTCAGCCTTCTCTTCTTCAGGCTAAACATGCCCAGTTCCCTAAGCCGCTCCTCGTAGGGTTTGTTCTCCAGACCCTTGATCATTTTAGTCGCCCTCCTCTGGACACATTCCAGCTTGTCAATATCTCTCTTGAATTGTGGTGCCCAGAATTGGACACAATATTCCAGGTGTGGTTTAACCAAAGCGGAATAGAGGGGTAGCATTACTTCCCTAGATCTAGACACTATGCTCCTATTGATGCAGGCCAAAATCCCATTGGCTTTTTTTGCCGCCACATCACATTGTTGGCTCATGTTTAACTTGTTGTCCATGGGGACTCCAAGATCTTTTTCACACGTACTGCTCTCGAGCCAGGCATTGTCCCCCATTCTGTATCTTTGCATTTCATTTTTTCTGCCAAAGTGGAGTATCTTGCATTTGTCACTGTTGAATTTCATTTTGTTAGTTTTGGCCCATCTCTCTAATCTATCAAGATCTCTAATCTGTCAAGAAGAAGAAGAAGAGGGAAAGGGGGAGAGAAGCCATATAGAATCATATTCATTTCTTTGACTTTTCTGTTCCCATAGAGATTTTAATTTCAGGTGTTAAAGGGGGTAGCATCCACTCTCACTGATTTTTGGTGGGGGCAAAAAGAGGTAAATAGTGGTGAAGTGCTCTGGTTGTCTCTCACAATTATCTATCTTCTCTTCACTGAAAGAAAAGGGAAAGCAGTAAGAACTCTCACTCCAATTGAAATGATGACTCCAAGTTGGACATCACTGAATACTTGTGATTATTAGCATGACCATAGGAAGGTTATACTGTACTTCAGTATACTACCTGTCTGTTTATCTAGTTCACTGCCAGTGGCTTTCCAAGATTTTGAGCAGAGGTCATTTACAGTGTTTAGTTTAGTTACTAACTGATCGTATAACCAGAGATGCAGGGAGTTGAAGCATAGTCCTGTCCACTTCTCTATTGCTAGTTTTCCATCTTGGAAGATAAGAGTAATCTGGTCAAGAAAGCTGATTTTCTGTTCTGGATTATGTGGGGAAAGCTGGGTGGGTGAGTCTGGACTCATTACACTTAGTCCCAGCATGCATCTGCATAATTAGTTATGGATGTTCTTTGCATTTATTTCTGATTGCGAAAATGCAACCTGGACTCTCTTGTTCAAGTCGATGGAACTCTGATCTCTTCTAGGCTTTCTACCTTAATAATTTCCCGTAAACAGTATTTCCATCTGATGATTTAACCTGGAAAAGCTCTAAAGAGATGGATGAATGGTGATGCTGTAGAACAGTGCTTCTCAACCTTCCTAATGTAGTGACCACTTAATACAGTTCCTCATGTTGTGGTGACCCCCAACCATAACATTATTTTCGTTGCAACTTCATAACTGTAATTTTGCTACTGTTATGAATTGTAATGCAAATATCTGATATGCAGGATGTATTTTGGTTCACTGGACCAAATTTGGCACAAATACCCGATACGCCCAAATTTGAATACTGGCGGGGTTGGAGGGGACTGATTTTGTCATTTTGGAGTTGCTGTTGCTGGGATTTATAGTTAATCTACAGTCAAAGAGCATTCCAACTTCACAAATGATGGAATTGAACCAAATTTGGCACACGGAACTCCCATGACCAACAAAAAATACTGGAAGGGTTTGGTGGGCATTGACCTTGAATTTTGGAGTTGTAGTTCACCTACATCCGGAGAGCACTGTGGACTCAAACAATGATCAATCTGGACCAAACTTGCCACAGATACTCAATATGCCCAAATGTGAACACTGGTGGAGTCCAGGTAAACTAGATCTTGACATTTGGGAGTTGTAGTTGCTGGGATTTGTATTTCACCTACAGTCAACCACATCAACAACAGAACCCCATGAACAACAGGGTGTTTTTCATGGTCTTTGGTTACCCCGCTGAAATCCCCTGGAGACCCCCCCCCCCCAATGGTCCCAACCTGCAAGGTTGAGATACGCTGCTGTAGAAGCATGTGAGGTCTGAATTTCTTAGGAACTGACTAAGGAATGCTGCCACAGAGAGCTCAAGAAAGGGAAAGCAAGTGAGTTCAGAGCAAGGAAAATGTTCATAGACTCTCACCTTCCCCTCGCCAGGATGCTATACCTTGATACACCATAACTCTTATTAATGCTAACAAACTCCTCATTCTTAAGAGTGATGTTGGCATCCAACTCCAAAGTATTAATGAATCTGTAAAGAAACTTGATTTCATTATGACAGAAAATGAATAAAGTAAAATAAAGTATCCGTTCTTTTACTGGAGGGATGTCATCTATTTAAAGGCATCTCCATCTATCTCTTAATTGTAAAGGTAGGCTTACTGGACAAAAATGTCACCAATTAATCACTGATTTCTGTATCCTTATGTATTTAAACCCCTCCAAAAAGTGCAATGATGTCCCTTTCTTTTCTAGGAGGAGGAAAATTATTGTTGTACATAATCCTATCTAAGAAATTTAATGGAATGGGAAAACTGAGGGGGAAAAAGAAAGAGTAACTCTTCTTCCTGATTTTATTCTACGAACAACTATTTCCTAATTGATTCTGCCATGCCCCTTGATTCTAGGACTTATTTATTGAAAGTGTGTTCTTTTTGCTCCACTTTTCCTTAAATAAGACACAGCTGTGTACAGTACAGAGTTTACATCCAATTAGTCCTTCCCAAATTTTATTCGACGGTATGAAGAGAGAGCCATTTCAAAGTTAATCAATGGGGTCCATGGCTCACTGGGAACTAGAATAATAAAATCCTGCTCCAGATTGGCAACCTTGGCATTGAGTTGTCTTTCTAAAAGCATGTGACAGAGGACTCCAATGAACACAATGGCTAGATAGCTTCCTCAGAGGGAAAACTGTCAGTTCCTCATTGGAGCTCCTCGGAGTGGGAGAACACATCACTGCACAAACCTCCTGCTTGAAAATTCAAGCAAGGGCTCGTTAACAATTGAGCCAGGTGAGAACACTGGTATAACAGACCAAGGCTGGATCTATACTGCCATATAAAAGCCTTGTGTAGCATGACTTAGAACCCATCTACACTGCCATATAATCCAGTGTCTGATCTCAGATTATCTGCTTTGAACTCGATTAAATAAATCTACATTGGCATACATTGGAGCCCCCGGTGGCGCAGTGGGTTAAAGCACTGAGCTGCTGAGCTTGTTGATCGAAAGGTCACAGGTTCGATTCCGGGGAGCGGTGTGAGCTTCCGCTGTCAGCCCTAGCTTCTGCCAACCTAGCAGTTCGAAAACATGCAAATGTGAGTAGATGAATAGGTACCGCTCCGGCGGGAAGGTAACGGCGCTCCATGCAGTCATGCCGGCCACATGATCTTGGAGGTGTCTACGGACAATGCTGGCTCTTCGGCTTAGAAATGGAGATGAGCACCACACCCCAGAGTCAGACATGACTGGACTTAATGTCAGGGGACTACCCTACCTTACCTTACATTGGCATATAATCCAGTTCAAAGCAAATAATCTGGGATCAGAGAGTGGATTATATGGCAGTGTAGATGGAGCCTAAGTTATGCTATCCAAGGCTTTTATAGGCCACTTGATGTGGCAACATCTCCATGTCATTCCCATTTTAAAAATGCAAAAGTAAGACAAAAGATAATTTCAAATAAAAATAATACATCATTGCAAAAACCAGCAAATATAAAAAACGGAGATGGGACAACAACTACAAGATGTGGGATGCCAGTGTGAATAGTAAAGTGCTCCAGGAAGTGTTTTAAGATGCATGTCCTTTTATCCTCACATGGGGGAAAACTGTTCCTGAGAAGGTGTGCTTTCATAATGTCAGTCTGTCAGTCAGTCAGTCTGGCAGTCAGTCAGTCTGTCAGTCTGGCCCCTGTTGAAGGTCACAATGGTCAACTAGGCACATATAAGAAAAGGTAGTTTGATAGCTATCCTGATCCAAAGGTGTTTAGAGCATTATATATCAAGAACAAAACTTGGAATTCCCTTCCCTCCCTCAGCATGAGAGTGGGGAATGGCTTTGCTCCCTTACAGTGAAGGGAGAGAAAAATGGTCCTCATGAGGGAATGAGGAGAAAGGGAATGAGGACCCTTTCTCCTCATTCCCTCATTAATGCTGAAGAAGACAGATGTCTGCCTTCAATGTTCCCCACTTGTAAGTGAGGGGGGGGGAGTGTGGGCTCGGCAGGGCTGCTGGCCTACACCCCTCCCCCCAGGTATGACTTCCTCTGCTTCCGTCGCCTTAGCAGTGGTGGGCGCAGGGGGTTTCTTAGTGGCCTGATTCGGTGGGGGTGGTAACAGCCTTGTGTAGGGCTCAGTTTTCCTCCATGCCCACTGCTTGTCCTTAATCTATGGCGGGGAAAACAATCCTTGTCTGTTATTAAACGAATTGAGGTGAGGGTGAACAGGAGTAACCTTGAGTGGAGAGAGTCATGGACTGAATTCTCTACCCATTCCTTAAAGGGTCACCTTGGGGACAAGATTGGGTTGCATCCAGGGACCGTGGTGTCTCACCATTGATTGAGGATGAGTTGGTCTCTGATGGCTACTACCTCATTCTATTACACACTACATTCAAATTTAAGTTCAAGTTCATGTTCAAGTTCATGCTCCTAAGTTTGTTGGCAGATCACACAAAGATGGATTGGTAACATATAATAAAAGTTGCCCATAGTTAACCCAAACAATTGTGTTGTCTCATTATTTCATCAGTGAGAGAGCAAATAGTTAAGGGGTCGCCTGTGCCATTCTTTCATAATGGGTGGGTCAACTTAGCTGCTGCATCCTGCACCAGCTCCACCTTCTGAACCAGGTGCCAAGTCCACTCTACACAGAGAACATTAGAATAGTAACACTGTAATACAGTTGGCTTCAGCTCCTCTTGGAGACACCATTTTCCTATAGCTACCTTAGCAGGAGCAAAGTTCAACCAGCAGGGCTCACTTGGAGCTGTCCAAGGTCCTGTTTCCATTTGCCCTCTGTGTAAGAGAGCCTTTGCTTTGACTGCAGAAATGTTAGGGTAAAGGCACCAGAACTGAATCTTTCCGCCTGGCTACCAGGCACTGTTTTACTTTGTAGCACAGCGGAGGCTCTGATCTTCTCAAGGTAGGTAGCAGATTTTAGCACAACAACAATTAGGACAGAAAAAATAATGGATTAATTATTACATTTGATTCACTCATTAATCACAGGCTTTTACATGAGCTGTAATTTCAGTAAGCCTTACCCTACCAAAGAAGTTTCAGTAGAACTAACATTTGTAATAAATACATTGTCTGCCTGTCTCCATTCAGGCAAGGTATTTAAGACGGCTTTCCAGATAAATTATCTGAGTTGTTATTCAAACAAAGGCACCGTGTGTGTGTGTTGTTTCCTTCATTAAGGCCTTCAGAATGATTACCTGCACTTACATTGTTTCAGTTAATCAATTTACAAGCAAGACAGATGGCACAGACAGAAGAATAATAAGGTTTATTCATCAGCATGATGCCAAGCTTGTATCTCCTTCCCGAAGAATGACAGGTAAGGAGGTTTGGGATGGTGGTGTCGTTTTTTTTAAAAGAGAAGAGTAAAAAATGGACTCCTCACAATTTAATGGTGGATAGTAAAATTGTGGATGAGATAATGAGCCAAATATTTTGACGGGAAATGATAAATATTTCCCCACATTTCCTTCTATGAAGCATTGACTCAATTTCTGTTGGGTGGAATTCAAATAGTGTCTTATACTGTAGGCCAAGAAAGATTTGTAGAAGCCCTGTCCTCTGTTTCTACAATATTAAGATAATATTAAACAATAGCAGATCTGAATTCACTGTTTCGTGCAAAATGTGGCATGTGTGGAATTTTGGGTGATGAACTTGGGAGAAGACACTGAGACAAATATTCTTCAGCACTACAGGAACTCAAATGAAAAGGGAAGGTTTACAAAATTTGTCAGAAAATGCTTAAGACATTTTGATGAAGCCCTAAGGATTTTTTTCCCTTTGAGATCCTGGACCATTTTGGAAACACTATTTCTAAACACAAACAAGTGTGGATGGTGCTTCCACGATACACATGACTGCTTATGCAAAATTGAACCGGACTAGGTTGCTGTGAGTTTGAGTTGTATGGCCATGTTCCAGAAGCATTCTCTCCTGACATTTCACCCACATCTATGGCAGCATCCTCAGAAGTTGTGAGGTCAGTTAGAAACTAGGCAAATGAGGTTTATATATCTGTGGAATGTCCAGAGTGGGAGAAAGAACTCTTGTCCATTTCTGGGCACCACAATTGAAGAAAGATATTGACAAGCTGGAATGTGTCCAGAGGAAGGTGACTAAAATGATCAAGGGTCTGGAAAACAAGCCCTATGATGAGTGGCTTAAAGAGCTGGGCATGTTTAGCCTGAAGAAGAGAAAGCTGAGAGGAGATATGATAGCCATGTATAAATATGTGAGAGGAAGTCACAGGGAGGAGGGAGCAAGCTTGTTTTCTGCTTCCCTGGCGACTAGGACACAGAACAATGGCTTCAAACTACTAGAAAGGAGATTCTATCTGAACATGAGGAAGAACTTCCTGACTGTGAGAGCCATTCAGCAGTGGAACTCTCTGCCCCAGAGTGTGGTGGAGGCTCCTTCTTTGGAAACTTTTAAACAGAGGCTGGATGGCCATCTGTCAGGGGTGCTTTGAATACAAGATTCCTGCTTCTAAGCAGGGGGTTGGACTGGATGGCCCATGAGGTCTCTTCCAACTCTATGATTCTATGATTCTATGTTTGAGGCCAGTCTGAATGTTGTAACTGGACACCTTGATTAACATTTAATGGCCTTATAGCTTCAAAACCTGGTTTGTTGCTGCCTGAGGATCCTTTGTTGGGAGGTGTTAGCTCGCCCTGATTGTTTCTTGTCTGGAATTCCCGTTTTCTTTATTTACTGTCCTGATTTTAGAGTTTTTAATACTGGTAGCCAGATTTTGTTCATTTTCATGGTTTCCTCCTTTCAATTGAAATTGTTCACATGATTGTGGATTTCAATGGTTTCTCTGTGTAGTCTGACATGGTGCTCCTGAAATATGGCCATACAGTCCAGAAAACTCAAAGCAACCCAGTGATTCCAGCTATGAAAGCCTTTGACAACACACTGAACTCTTGTTGGGCAATACAAATGCTAACTTCAACTAGAGTAGAGCTAGAGAAACAACAGGATTTGGTTATTATTGAGCAATTGAGTCAGTGGGTCAATTGCTCAATAGACTACCTAATGTATTTAGATCAGTATCTCCTACCACAAACATGGACGCTCTAACAGATTTACAAGCATATACCTAGAAGAGCAGCACAATGCAATGTGCAAATCTGTTTTGTTTCCTCATCTCAATTCTTTAAATTTCAAATTTTTCCCGTTCTACCCCAAATTCTTCCCATCCCAGTTATGACGATATTGGTATGTTTCAGTAACCCTACCTCACTTATGCAAAGCGGCGACTCTACATCTTTGGATTCTGTCTCAGCAATGATTCCCTCTCCTATCTTTCTCTACTTCACTGGCTGCTAATGGGAATAGCCAATGTGGACATCATTGCCACACCATGTGCTCAAAAGACATAGAGGAAACCCAAGCTCTGGCTAGGTTTGGGTTAATAGTTTCTTGTGAAATCTTGGAATTGTAACTACAAAGAAACAGAAGAGTCACCCAAAGCCTGTTCACACCTCACAGCTGACATTCCTTCCGTCGGCTTTTGTTCCATGTCTTTAATCTAAAACCAAAGGAAAATAAAATCAATACATAATTTCGGCTTACATGAGGCTTTCTAACAAGCAAAGTGTCTGTAGATAAAAACATGCATTCTGAACGTGAAGTGATTGAACAAAGGGAGGTGTTGGCAAGGTGCTTTTTGTCAGCTGCTAGTGTATGACTTGAGTTGTGCTTGGGGTGTCCCTAAGCAATTCATGTCTGACCAGACTGTCACTGATGCAAGTGGTGGGTGGAATAAGGTTCTCGTCTCCCAGGTCCTCTGTTATCTTGGCTGAATGGGGCCTCGCCGTGTCAAGAGGTGTATTGTGCTTTTCTAATGCAGGTCAATTACTTTGTGAAAGAAGTTCCATTGCTTGGGCAACTATACTTAGTCACAGAAGAAGGGGAGAGAAATCGAAAGAAAAATGAATGGAGAAGGCAAATTAAGAAATATGGTTATATTACAACCAATAGTGGCCCTGTGGAATTAGGCCCTGTATAGAGCTTGTACAGAGCTTGACACCCCCCGGTGGCACAGTGGGTTAAAGCGCTGATCTGCTGAACTTGCTGACTGAAAGGTCACAGGTTCAAATTCGGGGAGCAGCATGAGCTCCCACTGTTAGCCCCAGCTTCTGCCAACCTAGCAGTTCGAAAGCATGCAAATGTGAGTAGAGTACCAGCTGCGCCTGTACCTTGGGAAGTCTGAAATGGCCATGGTGGCCCATGCTCTTGTTACATCCCAAATAGATTACTGCAACACATTTTATGTGGGCTGCCTTTGAAGACTGTTCAGAAACTCCAACTAGTCCAACAGGTGGCAGCCAGATTACTAACTGGAGCGATATACACGGAGCATACCACCCGCTTCCTGTGTCAGCTCCACTGGCTACCAGTCCACTTCCGAACTCAATTCAAAGTGCTGGTCCTGACCTATAAAGCTCTATACGATTCTGGCCCAGCTTACGTTTCCGAACGCATCTCCCTCTACATCCTGCCTTGTAGTTTAAGATCATCCGGGGAGGCCCTGCTTTCGCTCCTGCCAGCGTTGCAAATTCATCTTGTGGGGACGAGAGACAGGGCCTTCTCAGCTGTGGCCCTCCGCCTGTGAAACTCGCTTCCCAGCAAGATAAGATTGGCTTCATCCCTCCTGTCTTTTAGGAAGAAATTAAAATAGTGGTTCTGGGACCAGGCTTTTGGACACCAGGCGCAATAGCACTTTGGATGTGGATTTGACTGGAATGGTGATATGGCTGACATTATTGTTTTTATTATTTTAATTAATGCTCTTTTTATTGTTTTAATTGTTGTTTTATTGTAATTGTTATATGTAACTGCATCGAATCGTTGCCAAGTGTAAGCTGTCCTGAGTCCCCCTTCGGGGGTTGAGAAGAACGTGGTAGAAATGCTAGAAATAAATAAATAAATAGGTACCGCTTCGGCGGGAAGGTAAACGGTGCTCCATGCAGTCATGCCGGCCACATGTCCTTGGAGATGTCTACGAACAACGCTGGCTATTTGGCTTAGAAATGTAGATGAGCACCAACCCCCAGAGTTGGACATGACTGGACATGACTGGACTTAATGCCAGGGGAAAATCTTTACCTTTCCCTTACAGAGCTTGTAAAGGCTTTTTTGGACTACAATCCCTAGAATCCCCTCGTCATCCAAACAGAGCTTGCTATTGTCAAACCATAAAAGGTTTGCCACTGTACTGTAACTTGCTTTAAAAAACCACCAATAGATCCCAATCCTGCTTCCAGTACATTCCAGGCATAGAAGAATATGAAACATCTTCCTTTCATATGTCAGCTGCAAGCAACAAATACACATTTGCTGGACCTTTTGTGACCTCGAATTCCAATAGACATTTTATCATCACAGCCTAGCAGCTCATGTTGTTTCAGAAATGGGATGTCAAAAAGAAGAGAGATGTTTGGCAAAGGCAGCAGTGATGAAGGTTAGTAAGGACAAAGATTGTAGGAGGGAATTCAGAGGAAACCTCACACAGGACTTTGGAACAGAAGGTGCTGTCACTTCTTTGTTGTGAAGGGTGGGAAAAACTGGGTTTCATATCCGTCCAACATTTTTAAGTTGCAGATTTCTTGTTGTTATTGACATGTGCCTTCATGACATTTCCTAATTAAGGTGACCTCAAGGCAAAGTTATCATGGGGTTTTATTGACAACTGTTGTCCAGATGGGGGTTTGCCCTTGCCTTCTTCTGAGGCTGAGAAGAGTGTGAGTTGCCAGAGGTCAGCCAGTGGGGTTTCATGGCTGAGTGGGGATGTGAAGCCTGGTTTCCAGAGTCATAGTCCAACACTCTAACTACTGCACCATGTGGGCAGATTTCTATGAATTAGTTATTGACAATGGGCCCTCTAACACTCCCCATATTACTAAGGTGGGTGTGCTGCATGGGGACTGTAAGGACACAGAAACAGAACTAATGAAAGTCTGGTCTTCATTGTCTGCCTCCATACTGGCACCCTCTCTAGAGACTTCATCCCACTGAACACGTCAAGTATTTGGAAGGGTAGGTTACCATAAAGCTCAGGCACACTCCATTTTGAAATTAAATGCATGATTTACCTACCTGTATCACACACTTGCAAACTATCCATTTTATTCAGGAGTTCTCAGTTGATTTGCCATCACATTGTAGAGAGTGGTTCCTGCCCACTGTCCTGCCCGCTTTCTTTGTGAAAAGAAACACTTCCTCTTCTGGACTATGATTTTTGTTCCTGGTTAGAAATACCATTTCCTAATTGGTTCTATCATAAACACATGGGAAAAGTTTATTAAACTGCAAAAACTTTTCATTTGCAGGAGGGACATCCTGCTATAGCACATTTTGCTCTAGTTTCTCAATGATCGAATATCTTGTAGAGTCTCTGCCAATTTAACATACTGTAGTTTGTGGGCACATTCAAAAAAAGGACTACACAATTAAACAGGAAATAACCCTTGCAAACTAGGAACATATTTTCTTTATTAATATTATTTGAAATACAACAAGATGAGTCCACAGCAGATACTTTGCTGGCTGATGTATTGAATCACACGTTGGAAACTTCCCAAGTGTCTAGGACTGTGTGATGCATCAGCAAATAGTGCGTGCAGATCCCAGTAAGGCAGCCTTCTGCAGCTGGCAGGTGGTAATTTTGTCAGCGCCAATTGTGTTTAAGTGCAGGCCAAGGTCGTTAGACACTGCACCCAGTGTGCCGATCACCACTGGGACCACCTTGACTGGCTTGTGCCTGAGTCTTTGCAGTTCGATCTTTAAATCCTCATATTGTGTTAGCTTTTCCAGTTGTTTCTCTTCTATCTGCTGTCACCTGGGATTGCAACATCGACTATCCATACTTTGTTTTTTAACACAATCATGAGGTCAGGAGTATTGTGCTCCAAAACTCTGTTTGTCAGAATTCGGAAGTCCCAGAGTAGCTTGATGTGTTCATTCTCTGTAACTTTTTCAGGCATCTGAGCAACGGTGTTATGCCTCTGCTTGTAGTCTGTCTGCGCAATCTTCTTGCAGCAGCTGAGGATGTGATCTATTGTTTCATCTGCTTCTTTACAGAGTCTACAATTGGGATCTGTTGCCGACTTTTCAATTCTGGCTTTGATGGCATTCATTCTAATGGCTTGTTACTGTTGTTGTTGTTGTTGTTGTTGTTGAGAGGCAGGATGGCCATCTGTTGGGGGTGCTTTGATTTTGCTACATGGCAGAAAGAAGTGGGTTGGACTCGATGGCCTTTGGGGGGGGGGGGCAACCGAAGGAGGAGGAGGAGGAGGAGGAGGAGGAGGAGGAGGAGGAGGGAAGGTGGCATCTGGGTTCTCTCCCTTTGCCATCATTCCAGCAATCTTCTCTCTCTCTCTCTCTCTCTCTCTCTCTCTCCCCTTCCCCATTTTGGAAGAAGGAGGGAAAGAAGGAGAGGCGGTAACACGTGGCACACACAACACAGAGAAGGAAGGAAAGAAGGAAGACAAGCTCCCAGAGAATGTATGAGACAGTAAGAAACACAACATACTGCTGTGTGGGTGGCTCAAGTATTTAACGAATGTGATGAATGTGGTGAAGGCTCCTTCTATGGAGACTTTTAAACAGAGGCTGGATGGCCATCTGTTGGGAGTGCTTTGAATGCGATTTTCCTGCTTCTTGGCAGGGGGTTGGACTGAATGGCCCACGAGGTCTCTTCCAACTCTATGATTCTATGATTTTAAAGCTGAGAATGATGAATACCATCACATAACAGAATTGACAATTTTGCCCATTTCTATCTGGATAATTTGCAAAATAGTCACTTGCCAACCAGCTTAGAAAGTGTCTGAAAAGATAAACCTTTAAAATGCTTTTTAAACTCCAAGATTTCTCTATCCTACACTTGAAGCCTACATCATGTGATGAACACCGTACGTTGCCATTTCTTAAGTTGGTGGCTTAAGTATTTAATGAATATGATGAAGTGACTTGTGCAGATCTTTACACGCTTTCTTCCTGTATGTATATTACTTTTTATACCCTATAGTTCATTTTTGAGAAATTAAAAACTTCCATCCCCTCATTTCACACTTTTCATTTCAGACCAATAAAAAGGCTTTGGAAGTTGTGATGGCCCTATATTGGTAAAAAGGCAAAACCTCGCAAAACAAGTAGTAGATAAACATGATTAATAATGAACAAATTGTTTGCAAAGAGTCGACAGCCGCGCTCCTGTGATAATGAATTCAGACTGATTAGCATCCCACTAGTGGATATAGCCAGCTATCAGTGCTGCTGACTGACAGTGATAAATTTTTCATTGGTGGCTGTGATGCCATCAAATATATGGACATGTTTTTGAAACCTTTTTCCTCCTGAATGCTACACTAAAAAACAAGTTCTGCAAAAAACAGTCATGCTGAAACAGAAAACAAGGCTGTGATGTTCTAATGGTGAGCAGGGGATGGAAAGGTGATAGAAGAAGTGAATAATGTAACATCATCTCACACAACCTGGTATCTAGGGGTGGGTTAGGAAGGCTTCAGAGCACATAAAAACCTGAATAAAATGCTTACTTTATAGAGGTATGGGGCTGGGAAATGGGTCCACAGCGGTTGCAGCCAGCTGAATGAAGTAGGAGATACAGGGCCCTTCCACACAGCCCTATAACTTAGAATATATGTTTTGAACTGGGTTATCTGAGTCCACACTGCCATATATTTCAGTTCAAAGCAGATAATGTGGGATTTTATTCAGCTGTGTGGAAGAGGCCACAGACAGAGGAAAGGAACTATTTTATATATGGTACTTGAACAAAAACATAGGTTGACTGATGAATGTCAGTGATGGAAACATATGACAGTAATGCTGGCTCCATGAGCTCTATGCAATGTGAATATATCTAAAAAAAGAGCAAGGAAAGCAATTTATCTCTATTAGGAAACCAGCATAAAGGCAATGACAAGAGGCAGAGGTGAGAAGCTCCTCTTTGCATAGTGGGGTATGGAAACAGGGGTGATTTGAATGCAATATTCCTGCTTCTTGGCAGGGGGTTGGACTGGATGGCCCATGAGGTCTCTTCCAACTCTTTAATTCTATGATTCTATTCCCTCCTTATTACTCCTCTCTTATCTCCCAAAGCAATTACTATACCTCCAACTCAAGAACAGGAAATGTAATGTTGGTGGATAGGAAAATAGATTTCTAAATAGGCTTAAGCCAATCTTAAGAATTGTGGCATAGACACTGAGAACTGGCCCTTGAGCATTCTAACTGGAGGTCAGCTGTGACCAGCAGTGCTGCAGAATTTGAAGAAGACTATCTTCCACCTGGAAACTGATGACCTCACTGAGAGAGAACGTGCGGATAATAATACTAATAATAATAAACTTTTATCTGTATACCACTCTATCTCCACGTTGTCCGTAGACACCTCCAAGGTCATGTGGCCAGCATGACTGCATGGAGTGCCATTACCTTCCCACAGAAGCAGTACCTATTGCTCTACTTACATTTGCATGTTTTCAAACTGCTAGGTTGGCAGAAGCTGGGACTAACAGCAGGAGCTCACCCCACTCCCCAGATTCGAACTGCCAACCTTTTGGTCAGCAAGTTCAGCAGCTCAGCGATTTAACCCCCTGCACCACCAAGAGGGTTAAATACAAGTATATAGAGTATATTAGTTTACCTATTACTATAAATTCTAGGATTGGGTGAAGCACAAAGTGGCATAAGGATTCACTTTTGTGATGTTAACAAACAAAGCACACAAAAGTCAAGTCAAGTAAATATATTATCACATATTAAGGTCTTCAAGCATCATATAGCCAAGGTTAGAGAACCTATAGTTCTCAACATATTATTGGATTCCAGCACCCATTAGCCCTAGTCAACATGGCCAGTGGACCTGAAAGGTGGTAATTACAATATGTTGATATCTGCTAAGCATCTGGACCCTGGTAATTGATGACTCTTTATACAAGAGTCCAGTTCTTTTTAAGTTGGTCTGGATTTCTTGATCAATATCTCTAATAGGGATGAAAGGCCTATTGACACCTTCCATTCCTGAAAACAAAGAAAGAATCAAAATGGAAGATTTGCCCCAGCATTAAGACTTTGGCATTGACATCACTGCCTCTATGTAACAGGGGAACAATTTGCCCAATCATCGGTCTGTCCTGTCAGCTTAATGGCTAGTCTATTCATTTGCAGAAGATCGTAGTTTCGCTGAAATAAAGCTGATACTTCATTTGCTGTGTCTAAATTGAATTTGAGGAGAGCTTTTAATAAAAGAAATATTGGTTGTTGTCAGAATGACAACTCATTACAAAATTGGAAAAGTGCTTTGCTGTAAGTTACTATTCCCAGATGGCCAAATGTACGTTTAATGGTTTTAATAGCCTTCTGTATGGCAATTTTGGAAACTTCTATTCTGAATTGTTGCGGTGTCACATTAAAGCAGCCTTCCCCAAACGGGCATGCACCACATGTTTTGGAGCATAACCCCTGTCATTTGTACCTGTGGATGGCCATGGATGATGGGGGTTGTAGTCCACAGCATTTAGAGGACACCTCATGAGGCAAGTCTGTGCTAAACCAATCCATCTATTGTCTCACTCAAGCAATTTCTCTTGTCACAGGGCTCCAAGCAATTTGCAAACTTTGATTTATGAGAAAGTCTTCTGGGGAAAATGTGTTTCTCAGCTTCCTTTTCATTTTGCAGACAGAGCCGTCCAAGGCAGAAGACACAATAGTGGCCCCCAGGGGACCAACATGGCACATACATAGAATGACAAAATGGGCAGTGGAATCTTACTCCAACGTTGGTCATGGGATTAAGGTTCTCCACCACACTCTTTGTAATCTTCAGGTCTGCAGATCTATCTGTCTGTCTGTCTATCTGTCTGTCTAATCATCTGTATCTATCTATTTGATATCCCACCTTTCTCCCAAGACAGAACTTAAAGTAGTATGCAGCAGTTTTTGTATAAAAAAAACCCAAGCAATTCTATTAAAAACACAGTTGCAAAATTTAAAATATAATGAGACAAAATCATAACACACCATCTTAAAAAACTTTTCTGTGATAACTTGCTAAAAAATTTGCCTAATGTCAGAATAAGATCGGGGCGGCCACAACTTGGGAGCAGCCACCGAGGCCCCTTCTAGGCCCCTTCTACACTGCCATATATAAAATCCAGATTATCTGTTTTGAACTGAATTATCTCACAGTGTAGACTCAGATAATGAAGTTCAAAGCAGATAATATGGATTATCTGCTTTCATATTCTGGATTATATGGCATTGTAAAAGGGGCCTAAGAAGGCCCTCTTCTGTGTCTGCTTGAAAATGCACTTGTCATGAGGGTGGGATCAATAGCAAACCCTCCTCCTAAAAGACAGACTCATACAGGGAAATTGGTCTTTGCCACTGAGTAGGTGTTAGTCTGAGCTCTCAATGCCACATTTAGATTCATTTTTTTTTGTCGGAAGCGACTTGAAGAACTGCAAGTCGCTTCTGGTGTGAGAGAATTGGCTCTCTGCAAGGACATTGCCCAGGGGACAACGTCCTGGCTCTGATGTTTTACCATCCTTTCATGTCCCCAGATGGGAAACTGGAGCTGACAGAGGGATCTCATCCGTGCTCTCCCTGGATTTGAATGTCTGACCTGTCAATCTTCAGTCCTGCTAGCACAAGGGTTTAACCCATTACGCCACCGGGGACTCCTTTAGATGGGATGAGGGTGTTGATGTAAAATTAGACCATGTATGGGAAGGAATAATATGCTCACTTTGGCTGAGCAGTTGGATCTGTTTATTGGTCACACTATGGCTCAGGGCCCTTCCACACAGCTATATAACCCAGAATATCAAGTATCTGCTTTGAACAGAGTTATCAGAGACCACACTGCCATATATTCCAATTCAAAGCAGAAAATGTGGGGTTTTATTCTGCTGTGTGGAAGGGGTCTCAGTAACTTTGGGACTCAGAGGGAATTTAGTAGTTAGAAAATCTTCAACTGAATCATCAGGACCAGAGTTATGCCATCAAATATTACACAGTTTGTAGCCACCCAAATTATAGTATTGATAATGTTTTCTCTTCCCTTTGGAATACCCATCAGAGAAAACAATCCCACATGACCACCATTGCAAGATTGCTATATACACAAAAATGGAAGAGTGCACTACAGCCAACAAAAAAAATACTGTCCGAAATGGACAAATTAGCTGCTTTGATTAAAGGAAAATCACTGGTGACCTTTTTAAAGTACTAAGAACCCTTGATTGTGTTTTTGATACATAAAAGAACAAAATGATAACTTTGGGCTTTGATAACAGTTTTGAATTAGTTGAAGTGTTTGAAGTATTTTTCAAAATGGAGACATTTTATTCATTTTGGACAAAGTGGTCCTTGCAGTCTCTTCTTTGATGATCTATAGCTACTGTAAAGAAAGTTTGAAATCATTGGGTTGTTGTAGGTTTTTCGGGCTGTATGGCCATGTTCTAGAAGCATTCTCTCCAGACATTTTGCCTGCATCTGTGGCAAGCATCCTCAGAGGTTGTGAGACGCAGGCGAAATATCAGGATAGAATGCTTCTAGAACATGGCCATACAGCCTAAAAAACCTACAACAACCCAGTGATTCCAGCCATGAAAGCCTTCAACAATACTTTGAAATCATTGTAACTTTTTGTCTCTTTTCTTTGTTCTTTTTCTATGTATGATTTAATGTATTTGGAAAATTAGTTTCCTTGCAGGATGTTATAGGTCCGCCTTCTCCAATGGAGCATCCCTACATGTATTGTATGTACTACAACTCCCATCCCAGCCAGCATGGTCAATGATCCTGTGTTGCAATCTAATATCTGTAAGGCACCAGGCTTTTTTTGGAAAGTGGGGGGAGAGGGTGTCTGCTCTTGGATTTTCTAAATTATATTATTTTGTCCTTTAATTAACTGAACTTTAATTAACTTTGATTTCCACACTTACCAAACGGCTTGCTAAGCTTCCTTCTGTCTTGTAGACAATTAAACTGTTCACGGTCTTTTCCTGGATGATATGATTAAATGTAAAAGATGATCCTTGGAACTGGATTTGGAAATGAAGGTTTTGTTGGTTACTGCTCAGAATTAATCTGGAGTATTCATCAGGGTCCTAAGCAAAAGGAAAGAAAAATTATGTTTAAATAAGAAGAAAAACATCCTGATTCTGTAATGAAGAAATAAATATCAAACAGTGAGGTGCTGTGAGTTTTCCGGGTTGTATGGCCATGTTCCAGAAGCATTCTCTCCTGACATTTTGCCCACATCTATGGCAAACATCCTCAGAGGTTGTGAGGTCTGACAATGCCTGCCATACACAACCTCTGAGGATTCCTGCCATAGATGTGGGCAAAATGTCAGGAGTGTATGCTTCTGGAATATGGCCATACAACCTGTAAACTCACAGCAACCCAGTGATTCTGGCTATGAAAGCTTTTGACAACAAATATCAAACACATTGTTTATCTGGGTTTTTCCACTGTTATTTAAGAAATTGTGAATTTACTCCTGTCATCTGTGCGTACATGGCACATCCTTTACATTTTATGAAGTTTGCTGGAAAAGAAAGAAATAATAGAGCAGCTTAAATTTTTTATTTATTATTGTCTTTATAAAGACAGTAATGAAAACAATCCGAGTGGCTCACAAACAAATGCAAAACTGAAAGCCAGTATAAAACAATAAAAATCATTACAATGAAATACACAGAGTTAAAAATACTGAATTTTAAACACGAGACCAAGGCCAATAATCATTAATTATTTAAAAGAACTTACAACGGCATTTATATAACACTGGGGCGCACAAAGCAATTAGTATGTATTACCTCAGTAATCTAGTGCCCAACATTTTCAAAGTAAAGATCAATACTTTAAATCCCCAGATTGTAGGTTACATCAAAATAAAAAGTCTGACAGGAATCCATAACTAAATTCCTGTTCCAAGCCCATCAGAACAGGGACTGACAGTGGAAATCCAAATAAGCTATTCAGTCTCCCAGCTACATTTAAGGGAAAGCCATGAAAGAGCAGAAACTTCAAGGAGGGAGATGTAAATTAAAGGCACAGTTTCCCATAATGTTTCCATAGCTTGTTCTTTGCTTACTCTGAATATGTTAATACTGCCCATATGTTTTATAGTCAAACAAGATTTTCAGAGATCAGTATCATAGATCATTCCCTCCTTATATCAGTGGCTCTCAACCTGTGGGTCCCCGGATGTTTTGACCTTCAACTGCCAGAAATCCTAACAGCTGGTAAATTGGCTGGGATTTCTGGGAGTTGTAGACCAAAACACCTGGGGACCCACAGGTTGGGAGCCACTGCTTACATGGAAGATTTGCTTGTACCAATGGGCTCAGGTTATGAGCAAAGAATCATAGAATCATAGAGTTGGAAGATACCTTATGGGCCATCCAGTCCAACCCCCTGCCAAGAAGCAGGAATATTGCATTCAAATCACCCCTGATAGATGGCCATCCAGCCTCTGTTTAAAGGCTTCCAAAGAAGGAGCCTCCACCACACCTGGAGCAGTGGAGCGGCTCTCACAGCCAGGAAGTTCTTCCTCATGTTCAGGTAGAATCTCCTCTCTTGTAGTTTGAAGCCATTGTTTCGCATCCTAGTCTCCAGGGAAGCAGAAAATAAGCTTGCTCCCTCCTCCCTGTGGCTTCCTCTCACATATTTATACATGGCTATCATATCTCCTCCCAGCCTTCTCTTCTTCAGGCTAAACATGCCCAGCTCCTTAAGCCGCTCCTCATAGGGCTTGTTCTCCAGACCCTTGATCATTTTAGTCGCCCTCCTCTGGACACATTCCAGCTTGTCAATATCTCTCTTGAATTGTGGTGCCCAGAATTGGACACAATATTCCAGGTGTGGTCTAACCAAAGCAGAATAGAGGGGTAGCATGACTTCCTTAGATCTAGACACTATGCTCCTATTGATGCAGGCCAAAATCCCATTGGCTTTTTTTGCTGCCACATCACATTGTTGGCTCATGTTTAATCCAGAGCTCTCATAATAAAAAAAGGCACCCTGGCTGCACTCCAGAGTGAATAAACCCATGGACCAGTCAGAGATGGGAACAGGGTACAAGGGAAAACAGTCTCCTCTCTGGATTGCCTCCTGGAAATAATCCTAAGCCTTGCTTGCTGCCTTAATATTTTCATCTTTTGACTTCCTCACTCAATCTCTCCTTATGCTCATATTTCTCCTGATATGGACAGCTATTGGTTTACCAAGAGTAAGGAAAACCCATTGTGAGTGGGTTGTGAGCATTGGGTGCTCCATGTATTGTCAAAGGCTTTCATGGCCAGAATCACTGGGTTGTTGGAAGTTTTTTGGGCTATATGGCCATGTTCTAAAAGCATTCTCTCCTGACGTTTCGCCTGCATCTATGGCAGGCATCCTCAGAGGTTGTGAGGTCTGTTGAGGTGCTCCCTTCCACAGAGCAATTATGATTGTTGTAAATTTTGACCGGCTTCTCTTATTTTATTTTTGTAAATGGAAAAGACATCCAGCCAGAATGCTTCACCCACCAAAGTGGGTTCACCTGGGAGTGCATCTACATTCTGGAATCAATGCAGTTTAACATCATTGCTGTGACTCAGTCCTACAAATGAGTTCTCACACCTCACCAAACAACAAATCCCAGGATTTCATAGCATTGAGCCCTGGCTATTAAAGTCATGTCAAGCTGGATCAATTCTACAGTATAGATGCACCCTGTGTGTATGGTTTTGAAGCAGGAGTATGGATTAGCAGGCTTCCTCCCATGTTATAGGAATCAGCACGCCTTGATGGATGGTCACCATGACTGGATCTCTGTGTGACTGGATCTCTCAATGAAAATACCCATTTCACTCCTCCTCTCAAATAAGGCTGACTTTACCCTATAAATGTTGCTGGGGCTCACAATGCATTCCAAATTTTAAAAATACACAGAAAAAACATGCATTTTTAAAAGGGGGAAGGGAAAAAATGTGTGCAGTTCTGAAATGTATGCAAAGAAGCTTCAATAAGTGAGGGAAATGCATACAAAAGTGTATAGCACATGAAAAATGCATATGAATTTACATGCTGAAAGAATGAAACTGTCTTGCAACCTGGTACAAAGAAAATATGCAAGTGGGATTTGGCGAACCAGAATGAAATATTCATGTTCGGGTTTTCAAATTCCAAAGCCTGGCTCTGAGTTTCACAGTTTCTGTGGGTCAACTCCAGGAGGAGATGAGGGTACAAATTCTCCAGTTTTGATGGACATGATGACACTTGGAAAAGGGTAAGGAATGTGTGCAAATATTCAACAACCCAGTTGGCTAGTAGAGCAGTGGCTTGGTACAATTTTGCAAGACCTAATTTATTTGTTGCTGCAAAGATTTTTCACGAGGATCTATGTAGTTACAGGTGGATTTTCCTTATTCGCAATTCTTGAGAACAAAATTGTTTTGGATTTTGGATTTTGGAATACCTGCATATACATACATAATGAGATATCTTGAAGATGGTATCCAAGTCAAAACATGAAATTCATTCATTTCATACACTCATTATGCACGTAGCCTGGAGGTAATTTTATACAATATTTTAATAATTGTGTACATGAAACAAAGTTTATGTACTCTGAATCATTAAAAAGCAAAGCTGTTTCTATCTCAGCCACCCATGTGAAAAAATTGGAATATTTTGTATTTTGGGATAAGAAATGCTCAGCCTGTACTTAGTGAGCTTCTTCCTCCCCTCAAAGTCCTTGTAATAGCTGAGCTCACCTTCCATTCTGATCTGCATCTATCTTCTAGCTAGATGCAAATACACTAGATGAAATGTTCCTTATCCCACCTCCCAAAGTAAGTGAAAATGAATAATACTGTGTTTTGAATGGAAATCTGGGAGCAACTCTGGTTGGTACTTAATTCTTGATACTTAATGACATCACCAGGGTCTGACCTTAGGTTTCAGGTTTTGACCAGGAAACCATTGCTTCAAAAGAGACAAGTAAAATAAAAGATGGACAAGATAAGGTGCAAGACCAGACCTGTTTAGAGGAGCTTGAGCTTTTACAGGAAGAAGAGCAACCAATACGCTAACCAACCAACCAACTAGGAAATCATATACGAAGGGCCACAGGAGATGTGAGGCGTCGAACTGCATCCCCTTCTAAAACAGCCCCCCACAGCTGATAATTAATAAGGTAAAAGGTAAAGGTTTTCCCCTGACATTAAGTCCAGTCATGTCCGACCCTGGGGATTGGTGCTCATCTCTATTTCTAAGCCGAAGAGCCGGTGTTGTCCGTAGATACCTCCAAGGTCATGTGGCTGGCATGACTGCATGAAGCACCATTACCTTCCCACTGGAGTGGTACCTATTGACCTACTCACATTTGCATGTTTTCGAACTGTTAGGTTGGCAGAAGCTGGGGCTGACAGCGGAAGCTATTAATCTATAATTAATAGATTGGTTGAAGTAGTAGAAGTACATAAATGGAAACTGTGTTTGAGGAAGCTATGCTTTGTATACTCATCATAAGGGAGGTTGGATGCCAAGTTGCTGATACCCATTTTATTTTCCTATTTCTTTATTATTCCCCCTGGGGAGATAGGGCGGAATACAAATAAAGTCTTAATATTATTATTACTATTTACTTTGTTGCTTTTTCTGTATTGATTTCTCTTTTGCTTTCCTTTCTTTGAAAACATTGTTTGTGTTGCATATGAAAACCTTAAATACAAATCTTTTAACAATAAAAGGGATATCAGCAGCAACCATTGTGGGAACAAATTCACCTCCCCCCCCCCCCAAACTGATATGGGACTGATAATTATATATGATAATTATATTTAATTTATAATTAATGTCCATATTCTTTTTATTCTTTTTGTGAGGTTCGCCGATGCATGTTCCTTTCTGGACCAATTTGAAATGCCACTTGAGCCTGAGCAACAGGAATCATAGATTGCATAAAGAGTCTCTTTTTGGCATGTTTTTATCCCAGAAGAAATATCTTTCCCCCCAATTATAAATAAATATAGTCCACCATCTGTGCCTTTTCTGTTGAAATACACTGGGGAAGGGGTTGCTGTCAAAGGCACAATGCCCTGTAGGTGTTTCCCACTGCTCCATATGGCAAAACAGACAAAGTGGAAGGAAGGTCATGTCTCCTTGTTCCTTCAATTATATGAGGGAATGCAGGGTACCTTTGCAATCCAAACGCTTTAGCAATAAAGCCTGAAAATAGAGAAAAGCAGGAAGTGGGAAATGAATGAACATGCTTTACATCAACGTATTGTGATTGTTTTGGAGATTCACATTTTTTTGTATTGATTTGAATAGGAAGAATTTTGTCACATCTGTGGACACAATGGAAACTGGAAGGAAACATCCAGGATACTCACCTGAAAAGGTTTAATTGGATGCCGAAACTGGTCGTAATCTTGGATCGCCACTTCAATATCTCTGTCTGCCAAATTCAGGACCTGAATGTAACTTTCTTTTGGAACCAGCACTGGCATAACATTTTCCTAATTGAAACAAGGAATATGCCAACAAAGACGATCATAATGATTTAATTAACTGCAGCTATTGATCCAGCTTGCCTCAGACCAATTCCCCAAAACATACGCATTTATTGTTGTAGCCATATCAGAGCCTGCAATGTTGATGTCTTTGGAAACATGTATTTGGCAGGCAGTGGCATAAAACAGGTCCAGCAACGTGTGTTATCTCTGCCACTTTGCATGCTGCTACTCAGCACTTACCTCTATCTTGAGTTCTACAATGGCTGCAACTGCAAATGCCAAGGCTGCAAGGATCATCCCAGTTGCCATCTTTTTAATAGGCCTAAGAGCAAATAAATCACAAACTTTATCACAAAATGATGTAATTCAAGACAAACCACACCCATTCTTACTATCTGGAGATTGCTGTATGTTCAGCCATATGAATAGGTACCATTTCAGTTCTGAGTATATGTGACTAAGTGGGCTGTTGATTTATAGCAACCCCATAAATTCCATAGGGTTTTCTTAGGCAAGAAATATTCAGATAGAGTTTTGCCAATTCCCTCCTCTGAAATATAACCCACAGCACCTGGGATTCATTAGTGGTTTCCCATCCAAGCACTAAAGAGAATGGACCCTATTTAGCTTCCAAGATCAGACAGGATCTGGTGTGTCGAGGGTGTGTGTGCATGCCTTCAAATTGTCTTTTCACTTACAGTGACCCCATTCACTTTATAGGCTTTTCTTAGGCAAGGCATACTCAGAGGTGGTTGGCCAGTTCCTTCTTCTGGAATGGAGCCTTCAGCATTGGGGGTTCATTGGCAGTCTCTCATCCATGTAGTTACCAGAGGTGATCCTATTTAGGGCCCTTCCACACAGCCATATAACCCAGAATATCAAGGCAGAAAATCCCACAATGTATTGTCTGAGTCCACACTGTCATATATTCCAGTTCAAAGCAGATAATGTGGGATTTTATTCAGCTGTGTGGAAGGGGCCTTAGCTTCCGAGATCAGACAGCATCTGGTGCCTTGCGGGCATTTAGACCCATTTAAGTTACGTGGGGCTAAGTCCTTTAGCTCAAAGCCTCCATGTGATGTTATTATGAGGCTATAATCAAAGCCCTTTCAAGTGATGTGCCATTTTTTTAAAAAATATTCACTGCTTGCAAGTTTCATATTCTCTGTCTCTCCATTCTTCTTAGGGAATATTGTTTGGCATTTAGTTAATGTGTGAGGTGGAGGAAAGTACCACAGATGATCTATCTCCAACTCCCTTCTGGGGAGACAGAAAAATTGCCTCAGGGTTATTGAACGACAAGAGCTGGAAGGATGTAAGAAATAAATTGCACATTTCCCAAAGCTCCTATCATGTCTGATATTTTCAAACAGGATGCCTGATCGTGAATATTCTAAATGAGGTGAAGGGGAGGTTAGGAGGGTTTTTCAATTGATGGAGACATCCGACTCTTGCAGAAAATCTGGGGGACTAGAAACTAACAAAGTGGTGGAAACTGGAGGCTTGGGATGCATGTAGCCCCATTGGTGTAAGGGAATAGTTGAGAGACATGGAAGCAATCTCCCTGCTTCCTTTTAATGCCAGAGAACTCAAAATACACTTGAACTACCAAAGTTTGAATTTCTATTGAATAGACTAAGGCCCTTCCAGACAGGCCCTATATCCCAGGATTTGATCCCAGGTTTTCTTCTTTGAACTGGATTATGTGAGTCTCCACTGCCAGAAAATCTGGGATAAACAGAAAACTTGAAATCAGATTCTGGGATATAGGGCCTGTCTGGAAGGGTCCTTGGATGTTTTAGGCTTACATGTTTCTATTTTAATTTGAATTCTTTTTTTTCTTTTCTATAAAAAATTTGGATCTGTATTTTTATGCAAGGATTTGTTGTTCAGATACTTACGTGAAATTAAATTTGCACAAGTCTATCAAGGGGTAGAGTCCAAAGTCAAAGACTGGGATGAAGACAAGGATCAAGAGAGGATTTAAGAACTGAAAGGCCAAAGAACACACAAGGTTAGCAATGAATGATCCTTAAGGCTTTGCTCCTAGACACAGTTGGTAGGGAATAAGCCCTGCTGAACACAGGAGCCACTTTAAAATATGGAGGGAATTGCACTCTTCCTTCATTCAGAACCATTAGTGCTAAACAATAAGAAGGATGCGGGTGAATGCCTGTTTTTAAAACCCTTGAGGTACTGCATGCTTGAGGAGTCTCTCCTGCTTTTAGATATATAGGGGCGTACATTCATTTAATCACAAATGACTAACTCAACCATGAGCCTCATTCAGTGCATCCTGCATTGCTTAGGGAACTGAAAGCCAAGAGGAATGAATGCTATGAATGAGTACATTTTTGCTGTGACCATAAGAAACCATTTTTTATCATTTCGAGTTGGGAAGGCTTATTTTCTCCAAGCGATTTGGGGCCTGCTACCTAGTAACAAACACATAACTTCCCAAGAATATTGTAATTGCTGAATCACTCCAGCTGTTCTAGGGCAGGGAAGATGTACCCACCAGATGGGACTGTTGTTTGTTATAGAAATAACCATTTCCCCACTCCATTCCCACCAATGTTCCAAATAGTAAAATACTAAACATGAGCAACATGGCTGGCTGGCTGAATGGAAAAACAAATTTAAAGTGCCAATGCAGGTTTACAGCTATATGTTAAGAAAACAAAAATAACTGGAGCCGAGAGCAAATCAAGCCTGAACTCTCCCTAGAAGCCAAGATGTCTCAGATGACTGAGACTGTCATGTTTTGGCTGTATCATGAGAAGACATAACTTGCTTGGAAAAGACAATAATGCTTGGTAAGATAGAAGGCAATAGGAAAATATGAAGACTGTATCTCACATGGATCAACTCAATCAAGGAAGCCAAGGCTCTGAGTCTGGAAGACCTGAACAGGGCAATTTGTTTGTTTATTTATTTATTTATTTATTTATTTATCGATCGATCGTGTCAGAAGCTAATTGAGAATACAATTATAAGTTTCCTGTGACCAGAAGCTGGTCACTTGGAGTGCCTCAGGTGTCGCTGTAAGAAGGTCCTCCATTGTGCATGTGGCAGGGCTCAGGTTGCATTGTAGTAGGTCTGTGGTTTGCTCTTCTCCACACTTGCATGTTGTGGACTCCACTTTGTAGCCCAATTTCTTAAGGTTAGCTCTGCGTCTCGTGATGCCAGAGCGCAGCCTGTTCAGTGTCTTCTAAGTCAGTGAGTCTTCTGAGTAACCAGGAGGGAATTTCTCATCTGGTATCAGCCACTGATTGAGATTCCAGGTTTTAGCCTCCCACTTTTGGACTCTTGCTTGCTGAGGTGTTCCTGTGAGTATCTCTGTAGATCTTAGGAAGCTATTTCTTGATTTAAGGCATTGGTTTGCTGACTGATATCTGGACAGAGGATGGGCTGGAGATGTCAATGCCCTGGTCTTTCATTACAAGCTGCTACTTCCCAACGGATATCAGGTGGCGTAATACCGGCTAAACAGTATAATTTATTTAGTGGTGTAGGGCATAGACATGCTGTGATAATGCAGCATGTCTCATTAAGAGCCGCATCCACTGTTTTAATGTGGTGAGCTGTATTCCACGCTGGGCATGCTTATTCAGCAGTAGAGTAGCAAAGCGCAAGGGTAGTTGTCTTCTCGATACCCATGTGATCATCTATCATTGACAACTATTACTACTGGAATGGCAGCATACAGTCTGTAATTATGTATATGAAGTTGCTGAACAATTGGCGTATGGTCCTATGCTCAGAAGTATGTATTATTGCTTCCAGTGGAACATACACCAGATCAGTGTGCAAAAGGTTGTGGTCGAAATTGATGAGTGTAGAGACAGAATGGAAACAGGTACTAATTGGTAGTCATTGGCCTACCTGCATTTGGTCAGGCTGAAGGACGTATCCTCCCTGAAATATAGTGACATTGAAACCAGTTAGCAAATAAAATAAAGCAACTGTGGTGGAACTGACATCAGTGAAGCAGACAGCAAACACATTGGCAGCAGGTTGCAGGTGGAGGGGAGATTGTAACTTCTCAGTGGCTCAGTGTTTCTTTGTTATGCTTGACTCCACACTCTCTTTGACAGGAAAGGAGCAATGTTTTGAGAAGGAAGTCATCTGCAGAACATAACAACAAAATCTGCAGCAGGAAATATTATTGTATAACCAGCCCCAATTCTCTTTGGACAGCACCACTAAACAGTGGGAGAAATTGGAACATGCAGGCTTAGTTTAAAAACTGGATGGCATTCACGTATAAATCATGTAATGCATAAAGAGCCCTTATCTAATGTTTCAATAATGTTCTCCTGGAGCTTTGCCCTCAATTCTCTTCTAACCAATATTGCGATCATCTGGGAGATGGAATGAATCTAAGGTGGGTTTATTGTGTACACTCAATATAGGTTAGTGAATGGAAAATTGCCCTTCAGCAGAAGGACTTCAATGAGATCTTTATGCTCTTTCTGGAGCCAATTATGGTTCGCATCATCATTGTGTTTTGCCTTATACTCCCCTTCTCCTCTGCACTCAGGATCTGTCCTTGGGCATATAATAACACAATGAGACTTTGGGCTATTCTATATATATCCCTTAGGAAAAGAAATTATTTACTCATGCATGGGTCTTTCCGCCACGGTTCCAACAGGAATTAGGGAAGTCAGTGAAGTATTGAGGAGGAAATATTAGATTTGGCTCAGACTTCAAAGCACCACTCAGCCAGGAAACTTCCTGGGTGGCCTTGGGCGAGTAGCTATCTCTCAGACAAATCCATCTCACAGGAAAGTGGGGAGCATGACAAGAGTAGGGCCTCCACGAGGAAAGGTAGTATGAATCTACAAAGAAGTCTATCATGGAATCAGATCATTAGTTTATTTCTCCTTCCCTAACACTGGCTTTACAGTCAATGCCTTTCCAACTTCTGTTGACCTAACAACCATTTTTAAGAAGTACCATCAGGCATTGAGCCTAGGAACTTATATATTAAGTGTAAATGCATTAGAAAACAAGTGGTACTGCAATGACTGCTAATGTATTGCTTTGAGCTTGTGAAAGTTATTTTTTTGGGTCTGCAGTTCCCCAAATCCTCCAATCAGCATGACTGTGTTGTTGGGGATTCTGGGAATTACAAACTAAAACTTTTCCAAACTTCACTGCTGTTTCTGTTGTTGTTATTACTAGTACTGTTGTTAGTAGGAGCCCCGGGTGGCACAGTGGGTTAAACTGCTGAGCTGCTAAACTTGCTAACTGAAAGGTCACAGGTTCGAATCCGGGGAGTGACATGAGCTCCCACTGTCAGCCCCAGCTTCTGCCAACCTAGCAGTTCGAAAACATGGAAATGTGAGTTGATCAATAGGTACCATTCCGGCAGGAAGGTAATGGTGCTCCATGCAGTCATGCTGGCCACATGACCTTGGAGGTGTCTACAAACAATGCCGGCACTTCGGCTTAGAAATGGAGATGAGCACCAACCCCCAGAGTTGGACATGACTGGACTTAATGCCAGGGGGAAAGCTTTACCTTTACCTATTGTTGTTAGTACCAAGCACAACAGAAAGCCAAGAGGAAAGACTTTTGGAATCTCACTGAGTCAATATATTAGAAGCCCCTGGTGGCACATTGGGCCAGTAGGACTGCTGACTGATAGGTCAGCAGTTTGAATCTGGGGAAAGCAGATTGAGCTCCCTCTGTCAGCCCCAGCTTCCCATGCAGGGACATGAGAGAAGCCTCCCACAAGGATGGTAAAACATCAAAACATCTGGGTGTCCCCTGGGCTACATCCTTGCAGATGGGTAACTCTCTCACACCAGAAGCGACTTTCAGTTTCTTAAGTCGCTCCTCACACACACACACACACATGCTGTTTGTGAATGCTCTCAGTTTCTGTCCATTTTTATATTTCATTGCTTTCATCTCCTGCAATTATACTTCACAGGCATTATGATTGTAATTATTGTCTTTTGATAGATGTACTTATTTTTTAAATCAATAGAAAGGTGATTCCATCTTATGCCGCAAGCCCACAATTTAAATCATAGCGTTCAGTTTTCAAAGGAAGAAATACCACTATCTTGAATAAATCTCATCCACTTACAAAGTCAGCATTCATTTTGGTGGCTTGTACTGTCCACCTAGAGCCCTGAGGAGAAGAGAACAGACAGTAATGAATTCCGCAGTCTACCGTCCATGAGAGATAAATGGATCATATAACAAATGTATGAAAATATAGATAATTGTGTGTATGCTCTATCCTATCCCCCCAAAACAGAAGAGGAAGAAGGATGAATTGTTGGTGTACAGGCTAGACATGGGCAAACTGTACAGGCCAGTGTACAGGCCAGGCATGAGCAAACTTTGGCCCTCCAGGTGTTTTGGACTTCAACTCTCACAATTCCTAACAGCCAGTAGGCTGTTAGGAATTGTGGGAGTTGGAGTCCACAATACCTGGAGGGCCAAAGTTTGCCCATGCCTGGTATAGGCAAACAGGTTTTATTAATTTTGCTAAGAGATAGCAATTTTTATCTGTTTCAGCATAAAAAAATGATTAATCAGTCTTAAAAGCACAGCTATATTTCTCGTCAGCATTCCCCTTTTTAAATTTTGTTAATAATTAAAACAACAATAATCAAGAAAACCATAAGCCATTCTTTTTACCCCATTAAAAAATTAAGTAATATTTTACTGAATTAATTAACAAAGCAATGAAGCATGGAAGCATTTCCATGCCATTTTGTAATAAAGGTTATATTAAAAATGTATAGATCTCTCTATCTCTCTATCAATCATCTGTCTGTAGAACTACTTTTTTTTGTATTAATGAATCAATAAATGAATAAGATAACAGAAGAGATATGAGAAAGATTACCTAAGTTTATTGTCGAAGGGTTTCATGGCCAGAATCACTGGGTTGTTGTAGGTTTTTTGGGGGCTATATGACCATGTCCAGACCCTAAACCGGTGTCCAGACCCTAAAGGCTGTCCAGACCCTAAACCGGTGCTTGGCTGCTGTGTCGGACTGGATGGGAGCTAACAAATTGAAATTGAATCAAGACAAGACAGAGGTCCTACTGGTCACTCGTAAGGCCGAACAGGGCATAAGGTTACAGCCTGGGTTAGATAGGGTTACACTCCCCCTGAAGACGCAGGTTCGCAGCTTGGGAGTGATCCTGGACTCATAGCTGAGCCTGGAACCCCAGGTCTCGGTGGTGGCCGGGAGAGCTTTTGCAGAATTAAAATTTGTGCGCCAGCTGCGCCCGTACCTTGGGAAGTTGGATCTGGCCACGGTGGTCCATGCTCTTGTTACATCCCGATTAGATTACTGCAACGCACTCTACGTGGGGTTGCCTTTGAAGACTGTTCGGAAACTCCAACTAGTCCAGCGGGAGGCAGCCAGACTGCTCACCGGAGCGTCATACAGGGAGCATACCACCCCCTGTTGTGTCAGCTCCACTGGGTGCCGATCCAATTCCAAGCACAATTCAAAGTGCTGGTTTTGACCTACAAAACCCTATACAGTTCTGGCCCAGTGTATCTGTCCGAAAGGATCTCCCTCTACGTCCCACCTTGGAGTCTAAGATCCTCTGGGGAGGCCCTGCTCTCGACCCCGCCTCTTTCACAAGTGAGATTGACGGGGACGAGGAGCAGGGCCTTCTCAGTGGTGGCCCCTCATCTGTGGAATTCACTCCCTGGGGAAATTAGATCAGCGACATCCCTCCTTCCCTTTAGGAAAAAATTGAAAACTTGGATTTGGGACCAGGCATTCAGACATTCTGGCAGCTAAAGAAAGGACTTGACGATGGACAAGAATTGACTAAACGGAATGGAATTATGGAACTCTGAAAGATGAACGCTGAACATGAGATTTAGTTTTATTAATTGTGTTATGTACCGACTGTTTTAACTTGCTAATTGTTTTAACTGCTGTTTTGTATGTATGTATATCTTGTGTAGGCATCGAATCGTGCCTTTTTGTAAGCCGCCCTGAGTCCCCCCTCGGGGGTTGAGAAGGGCGGGGTAGAAGCACCCGAAATAAATAAATAAATAATACAATGTTCTAGAAGCATTCTCTCCTGATATTTCGCCTGCATCTATGGCTACCTCTGAGAATGCTTGCCATAGATGCAGGCGAAACGTCAGGAGAGAATGCCTCTAGAACAGTGGTTCTCAACCTTCCTAATGCCGTGACCCCTTAATACAGTCCCTCATGTGGTGGTGACCCCCAACCATAACATTGTTTTTTTTGCTACTTCATAAGGGTCGTTTTCCTACTGTTATAAATCATAATGTAAATATCAGATATGCAAGATTTATTTTCATTCACTGGACCAAACTGGGCACAAATACCCAATGCAACCACATGTAAATGCTAGTGGGGTTGGAGGGGGATTGATTTTGTAATTTGGGAGTTGTAGTTGCTGGGATTTATAGTTCACCTATATTCAAAGAGCATTCTGAACTGCACCAGCAATGGATTTGAACCTAATTTGCCACACAGAACTCCCATGACCAACGGAAAACACTGGAAGGGTTTGGTGGGTATTGACCTTGAGTTTGGGAGTTGTAGTTCACCTATATCCAGAGAGCACTGTGGACTCACGCAATGGTGATCTGGACCAAACTTGGCACAAATACTCAATATGCGCAAATGTGAACACTGGTGGAGCTTGGGGAAAATAGACCTTGACATTTGGGAGTTGTAGTTGCTGGGATTTATAGTTCATTACAATCAAAGAACATTCTGAACTCCACCAACGATAGAATTGGCTCAAACTTCCCACATGGAATCCCCATGACCATCAGAAAATACTGTGTTTTCTTATGGTCTTTGGCGACCCCTCTGACACCCCTCGCGACCCCCTCAGGGGTCCCGACCCCCAGGTTGAGAAACACTGCTCTAGAACATGGTCATATAGCCCGAAAAAACCTACAACCCATTTTCTAAGTTTCCCCTTTTGCCTGAAGATTCAATTTATACCACCCAATTTTATGTTTTCTTCCCTTATGGTTATAATTTAACATTTCTATCAGAAACTAGCTGACACTGATAAAAACTATTAAAATTATCAGAAGGCTCTCACAAAATATAGCAACTGTAGGAACATGAACAAACTTTCCAGTATTTCTTTTTACATACACACTCATTGCAGCCAATTGGAATCCTATGTATTCTTTCCTTATCTCTTCTCAGACCTTGCCAACTCTTTTCCGAAAAGCTAAGTGAAAAAGAATGAGCAGTCTACAGTGTTTGGACCATTTTTCCTCACAAGTAAATCATGCCTTCCAACATTTCACAAATGAAAAGCAAGACATGCATACTCCAGCAACATTAGAGGGTGGTCAAGATGGCAACAGCTTAATGCAAAAAACCCACACATGCTTGGAGAAGCTGCAGCTGTTTGCTTTTGCCTGTGTCTACTGGGAAGGGCAAAATTTTATCCTTCTTTCCTCTGCTGTATTGAGTGCTAACTATCTGTGCACTCTGAACTCAGTTTGCAGCCAACTAAAGTAAACTGAGGAAAAAGAAGAAAGTGGGAAGAGGCAAGAAAAACTGGATGATCACAAAAGGAGCTGAAAATGGGATGATGGGAAAATAATTGGGACTGCCCCTGCCACATGAGGACCATTGGAGGCTATTATCTAATGCAGTGTTTCTCAACCTGGGGGTCAGGACCCCGGGGGGGGGTCACGAGGGGGGTATCAGAGGGGTTGCCAAAGACCATCACAAGACACAGTATTTTCTATTGGTCATGGGGGTTGTGTGTAGGAAATTGGGCCAATTCAATCATTGGTGAGGTTCAGAATGCTCTTTGATTGTAGGTGAACTATAAATCACAGCAACTACAACTTACAGGTGTCAAGGTCTATTTTCCCACCATTCACATTTGGGCATACTGAGTATTCGTGCCTAGTTTGGTCCAGATCCATCATTGTTTGAGTCCACTGTGCTCTCTGGATGTAGGTGAACTACAACTCCAAAACTCAAAGTCAATGCCCACCAAACCCTTCCAGTGTTCCCTATTAGTCATGGGAGTTCTGTGTGCCAAGTTTGGTTCAATTCCATCGTTAGTGGAGTTCAGAATGCTTTGATTGTAGATGAACTATAAATCCCTGCAACTACAACTCCCAAATGACAAAATCAAAACCCCACAACCCCACCAATATGTAAATTTGTGCATATCAGCAATTTGTGCTAATTTGGTACAGTGAATAAAAATACATCCTGCATATCAGATTTACATTAAGATTAATAACAGTAGCAATATTACAGTTATGAAGTAGCCATAAAAATAATTTTATGGTGGGGGTAGGGGGGTCACCACAACGTAAGGAACTGTATTAAGGGGTCATGACATTAGGAAGGTTGAGAACTACTAATCTAATGTGTGCCTGGGTTCCTGCTTTACTTGTAGATGGATGGCTATTTATTTATTTACTATACTTATACCCCACCCTCCTCACCCAAGTGGGTGGGGCTCAAGGCGGCTTACAAACTGTGGCAATAATTCAATGCCAGATTCCTTTAATGTGCCTGGCCTGGAAAATGTCAGTTCTTGCATTGTGTATTAATGTTCTGATGCTAATAGTTTCCTTAGTTCGTAAAAATTCCCTGAGCTCTGTCCCTAAATACCATATCTATTCAGAAATAAATCCCACTGAGTTCAATGTAGATGTACATTAGATCTCAGCATTGTCAACAGTTCTGACACTGTAGAGGAAAATTGTGGCCCTTAAAACTTATACAATTTGGTATTCATTGATACTGCAAATGCAACCAGGAATAAGACAGGGACGTGGAGGTATTGTTGGGATTAATCTCAATTAGGAAACAGAAAGAGGACTTAGTATTATTCTGCTTTGTATTACAGTATGTCCTTGGGCCCCCTGATGGCACAGTGGGTTAAATCGCTGAGCTGCTGAACTTGCTGACCGAAAGGTTGATGGTTCAAATCCAGGGAGCAGGGTGAGCTCCCGCTGTTAAGCCCAGCTTCTGCCAACCTAGCAGTTCGAAAACATGCAAATGTGAGTAGATCAATAGGTACCGCTTCTGTGGGAAGGTAACGGCGCTCCGTGCAGTCATGCTAGCCACATGACCTTGGAGGCGTCTATGGACAACACCGGCTCTTTGGCTTAGAAATGGAGATGAGCACCACCCGTCAGAGTCAGACACAACTAGACTTAATGTCAGGGGGAAACTTTACCTTTACCTTTATTATGTTAGTGTGTTGTACTACATAATATTGTTTTATATGATTCATTGTAAGCTATATTGAATTACTCCTAGGTATTGGTTATTCAGTGTTCTGAATGTTTTTCACAATATCATTCATCATATTCATTCTTTGTTTTACAGTTTGCAGCTTCCCTCTTTCTCCTTCTGTTTTCTAGTGGGTGCTTTGCTTGTATTAAGGCTCACACTTGCTTCATGTTGGAGCTAATGTCTCACCATTAACCATTCTAGTAAGGGTTGTTGGAAGTTCTAGTAGTCCAGCAATATCTGGAGTGTTTTTTTTACATTGGATTAATAATCCTGTTATTGGTCTTCATTAGAGCAGACAGACTGGATTTTTGGATTTACCAAAGTGTTGTCTCATCATTCAGCAACTGAATCAATTGGTCTTTGTGTGATGGACAAATTCAACCATCATTCTTGATGGCATTGACTAAAACACAGTTGTGGACCCCTTCTACACTGTCCTATATTCCAGGATCTGATCCCAGATTATCTGCTTTGAACTGGATTATATAAATCTCCACTGCCATATAATCTGGAATAAGCACATAATCTGGGGTCAGATCCTGGGATACAGGGCAGTGTAGATCCACCCTGAGTCTCATGAGGATACCAAAATCAATTTACAATGAACCTGTACTTGGTGATGGGACACATTACCTGCTGGTCAAAGAGAGCCCAGAACATTGGCAGTGGGATAAAGAGGAATAGGACTCGTGTCAACATTTTAACTTCAGCTATCAGCTGGCTCTGAGAAGATAAATGCAAAAACAAAAGTTAGAACAAGCAGAAAGAAATAACATGGAAGGCTAGCAGGCAATGATCTTAGACAAAAAATAGGAACTGTGTTTTTCATAACATTGAACGTTATGCTATAACATATGGGTGTTAATCATAGCTCTTCCCCAGATATTATTTGGCTGCATTTCCCAGCATTCCTCAAGATTGACTATGGTAGGGATGATGGGACTTGCGGTCCAACAGTATCTGGAGGGCTGCATGGTACTCATGCAATTCCAACTCAGTTCTGTATTCCAGGCAGTCAGATACTTCCCAATTTATACATTCTTATGGCACATCTAAAACACAAAGACACATTTCTCTAGCTCCATTCCTCCATTCTTTACCAGTCACATGGTCCTGTCATGCAAAATGTATTCCACGGAGAGGAATGGCTGAGGTAGGAAAATTGATGTCATACTATAAATAAATACAGTCATTTCCATTTGTCTACCTTCTTAGGTTCCAACAGAAATCCATCAGCTGGATGGCCCTTGTGGTTTCTTCCATCTCTACAATTTCTATTATGGGCTCATTTCTTTTTGAAAATACAGTTGCTCCCTCAGGGCAGTCCTACTCACAGGAAAGCCATAACAATGTGCAAAGATATTTCAGAAACCTTTTTTTACTTACTGAATACTTTTCTGAAGCCCAGTCTAACCAATGGTTCCTTTTAGGTATGTGTCGGGAGCGATTTTTGATCCGGTTTGTCAATGCAAACTAAATGGGAAGACAAGCAAATAAGAGTTGTGCAGGGTGGGATGCATGGTTTACCCAGTACTGCTGCCTAATGAATAGTCCCCTAATGAACTGGACCAGCATCAAATATAATTTGCAGCACCAAAAAGATATACAGTAGAGTTTCGCTTATCCAACATAAATGGACCGGCAGAACATTCCATAAGCGAAAATGTTGGATAAGGAGGGATTAAAGAAGAGCCTATTAAACGTCAAATTACATTATGATTTTACAAATTAAGCACCAAAATATCACGTTTCACAAGAATTGACAAGAAAAGCAGTTCAATTCACAGTAATGTTATATAGTAATCACTGTATTTACAAATTTAGCACCAAAACATTGCAATGTATTGAAACAGCTGTGGATCTGGGCCAGAGGCAGACTGCGTTGGATAATATAGAACGTTGGATGAGCAAAGGTTGGATAAGCGAGACTTTACTGTATCATTATAGCTATTTAATATCACTTTTCCTTCTACTTTTCTTTGCTATGGAACTCTAGAATTTGTAGATATATTGGATATGTTATTATTCATTTTCTGCCCTCCAGAAAAACTTTCCAGGAACTCAGTTTGACATCACATTTATTGGCATGGGTCAAAGCTATGGAATCATGGGAAAGGTAGCTTTACAAGGCATTTAGCCTTCTCTGCCAAAGAGTGCAGGTGCTTCAGCAAACTACAGAGCCCAGTGTTCTGTAGTATTGAGCCATGGCAATTAAAGTGATATCAAATTCTATTAATTCTACAGCATAGATGCATCTTTAGTTGGGAAGAGTAACTTAACATAATTTTACTCAGTTTTCATCTGGTATTGGCACATACTATAGGTTTTTTAAAAAAAAATTATTCTGCATAGAAATACATGTGCACTCTTTTCATTAGAATAAAATGGCATATGGTTATTTGGGAACCGTATTTTCTGTACAAAAGGTTATGATTCACATTCTTTAAAAAATCTATGCATATTTCTGTCCGGAATAAGTTATTGAAACATTGGGGATGTGAGAGCAGCACAGAAATATTTGTTTTCTCCATACTGGGGAGAAAATTGCAGCAATTATTCAATATCACTTCCAAAGACAAAAAATCTTTACAACCTTGGGTTAGGATGGTAGTTGGCATTTTCCCTTCTATGTAGAAACCCACTTTCCCAAACTCTAACACTGGAAATGCTCTTTAGTAGAGGTTTTTAGGTGCTTCTTCAAAATATAAATGTATAGGGCAGAGGCTATGACAATTAAGAGATATCAGGCTAGTATATCTGTGTAATGTAGTCAGGAATCTTGCTGAGACAGTGCCCTTCCTAGGTCCCATCTACACTGCTATAGAATGCAGTTTGAAACTGTATTATGTGGTCAGTGTAGATGGAGTGTTGGATGAGACTTCTTCCCCTATGGAAAATTTCCTTCAGTCCCTAAACATCTGACACTGCAGTAGCTTAAAACTTCAGTTGAACATTTTAAAATGCAGTTTAGGATCCAAAGAAAGGAACAGGCAGAGAAACCAAAACAAGCAGCAAATATAAAACTTATAGATCTAAGCCATTGTCAGTGTCTCACTCTCTTCAGTGCTCTAAATTTGATGATTGAAGAAAAATTTCATGGATGAGGCCAACTTCTTATTTGGAGGAGAAAAACCCTCATTTTTTTGCCCACCACCCCATAGCTGCAGCCTAATACATTCAGTGAGTCTGACTCCCACGTAAGAGGATTGCCGCCTGAGGGGCCCCTCCTCTATTATTAAGCTGTCTCACTCCATTTTTGAAAAGCCATCTTGATCTAGTGGTGATCACCACATCTTATATTAATGAATTCCATAAGATAATCACACATTAATGACTGTGCAATAAAGTACTTCCCTTTGTCTGTAATGAATAAAGTGCCAATCAATTTCACTGGGTGACCCTGGATTTTATTAGTCTGGTTGGAGGAGGAAGAGCTCATCTCTCCCTTTGCCCTATTCATAACTTTGTAAGTATCCATCCGTGAGTCATCTCCTCACCCTCCCCTGAATTTAAAAAGTCTTAAAGGGCTTACTGGCTAAATGGCCACAATGACCTCAATGTTGGTGTCAAGGAAGTTTAATCAGGGTGATGAACGGTTAGAAACCAAGTTGGAATTCAGAAGACAATGAAATTATGTTGGCCCAAAGTCTTCTGATTTAGTTAAAGTAAGCACTTATGCTCGGAAAGGACAAAATGTTCATCTATATCAGTGTTTTGCAAACTCTGGTCCTCTGTGTGTTTTGAATTTTACCTCCCAGAAGCTTCAGGCAGCTTGACTGGCACCATGAATTCTGGGAACTATAAAGTCCAAAACTTCTGGAGGACCAAAGTTTTGGAACTATAATCTGTATGAAGATAATGCTACTTATATTCATACTCAATCTTGGAACTACAAAAGTTTAGAGTAGATTATTAAAAAATTGAGAGATAATAATTGAATATGGGGAGGGACCAGCAGGGAATAGTCTTCCTCCTAACCTCAGATTAAAACCTTTATATAGACTCTCAAAGCATGAAGGTGTGGATTAGTATCAGTGGGCAGGATTAAACTTTTCTCCATGCCACCTGACATTTTAGTTATTTCCAAAGCAGGCCTGAAGAAAACCTCAGGAAAGTGTGTGATAATGTCCTTCGAACCATCCATGAAGTGATATCTATGAAAGGCACTCACCCAAATGCATTTCCAAACTTCAAGTAAGACGTTTCCTTGTGGTGGAGTCTTTTTGTACATTCCATTCCCAGCAATAAACACAACTATGAAAAAAAATGAAAAAATGCAGGGTTAAGTGTACAAGTAAGGAATTGTAGCACTTGGCACTGCATTGGTACAGGACAGATTTCTCTTTGTGCAAGACCCTTTTTTGCAAGACAATCCTTAAAAAGATGGTTCTAAGGTTGGATAGAACATTATTACTGAAGGAACTACTGTAGCAGCAGGGACAACAAATCCATTTTAGGGTGGGGGGGTTTTAAAGGAGGATTTTGCTAGTGTGTTTTCCCTCCGGCTGCTTTTGTGATGTACTTCTCAAAGAACAATGTCAGAACACTTCCAACAAACCCCCAAAACAAATAGAAAGGAACAGTGTGGTAAACAGCAAGCTTCTACACATGTCAGACTCAGGAAGGGTAGGCAGTGTGATTGCTTTAACTTTATCTGCTGGCTGCAAGACCTCATCATAGAATAAAGAATAACAAAGCATCATATGGCAACTAAGACTATGACACTATAGAAAGCAACCCTTATCAGACCCCATTGCTCCGTCTAGTTCTATATTCTTAACACAGATTGGCAGAGACTTCCTCATCCCCACATGCAGTTACAAGGAGGACTCTGAATACTAAATATGCACTTCTGATAGTAATATCTGCTTAGTTGGAGAAAGACTTTACTCATACAAATAGGCTACTTGCATCAGCATATACAGAGAAAGGGTTCTCTACTGGGTTTGGAAAAGGTGTTTTTAACACACACACACAGACACACAGACACACACAACTTTTCAAAAATCCCCTACTACCATAGCTGGGTGAGTGGTAGTTGGCTATGTTTGCTGAGTAGCAGTTCAGTAATAAGTATTATAATAATAATTACTTCTACTTTTCCAAGTAGTTCTCCAGGACAATTAGGAAGGAGCTTTGTGACAATTTTTTGCCCAGAGACACATAAAACTTAGTTTAGGTGCCCATTTCTTTTAATAAATGTAGAAGATACTGTGTCTCCAAAAATGAGTAATCATGGAAACTCTAGCCTTATAGATCTGGTAGCTATATGGGTGGTGTGCAAATTTACAAGATTAGAGTGTATATACATACACCTCAGATGCTAGTAACAAATTGCTAGAGAAAGACTTTTACCTTGAAATGTCTGCATAGTATGGTAGCTTAAGCACTCAACAAGGACTAGAATCAAGGGTTTAAATCTCTACTTTGGGCTCATTTCCTCATCTCAGATGAAGGCAAAGCCAACCCTCCTCTGAACAAACCTTGATGAGAAAACCCACTGGCTTTACGGTCCCCATAAGTTGGAAACAACTAAAGGGCACACATCAACAGCAACTACCTGCTTTGAAGCTTCTCAGTAGCTGTTCACAGTTCAGCACTGTCTTTATAATGAATCAGACTGAGCTGACCATCTTAGATGCCCCTCATTTTAGGTGCCACAAAAGGGTATCAAATAGTGATTTATTAATTTTCTATTTGTTTTGTTCATACTGTCAAGGAGGGGGAAGGCACGGGTTTTTTGGGTGGGGTGGGGTGGGGGGTGCCCTAAGTAACCAGATCAGTGTTGTTGACCTTGTACCCTTTAATTTGCCAGCTGATGTCATTTGTTCTGCCTCCTCAAGCAACCAACCCCGTTAGAGCTTTCTCACTGCTATATATAGACTTCTGGTCTAGTTGGCCCCTTGGATGTAATGCAGTAAGGTTGTTGCAATATTCTTTGACCTACAACTCACCCCAAAGAGGTGAGACTGCAGTCATGGCTTACACTGGCAGTATTTGTTTTCTCCTCCGCAATACCTTCCTCCATTATACCTTGGATCACCAGGGTTTATATTTCTATGATTCATCTGTCTCCCTTTGACCACAGACTTAGCTTTAAAGTAGATGTGAGTCAGAGAAGGGAAAATAACATTCTCTGCCAATGGTGGCTACCGGGTGACATTCTTCTATTTGGGGGAGAGATCAACACAGGCATGTAGCCGGGGGGGGGGGGGCTCGGGGGGCTTCAGCCCCCCCCCCCGAAATTTTCATGGTGGTTCGTGAAAAGGCCTTATTGGTGCATTATTTAAACTGTTATGTTTATTCATATCATGATCTGATCACCATACTCAATATATCCCATATGCATGGGGGTATTGGGGTAATGATACAAAAGGTTTGCTAGGCTAGACCCTCTTTCACTCAGACTCAGCCCCCCCCCGAAACTCAGCCCCCCCCCCGAAACCCCCCTGAAAAAAAATTCAGCCCCCCCCCCCCCCCGGAAACGAAATCCTGGCTACAGGCCTGGATCAACACCTTGGACAGCTCCTTTAGTTCATCATCTCAGTGACAAAAAAAGCCCACAGCCAATTCCCTGCCTCTCCTCTCCCTTTCTCCTTGGTGCATATGGGAGGAGGAACTACATGGGGAAATTCTTCAATTAACATGAAAGTTTCCTGAAATACAAAACAAAATGAAAGGAACATATGTATTAATGGAATAGACTTTGAATTGACCTGGTCCCTGAGGAGGTGATGTACTCCTGCCTCCAATTGCTCCTCTTAGCTCCTGCCCTAAACTGAATGTGTACCCTTCTGTTTTTCCCATATGGCCAGTCATCACTAAGAAGAATTGGGGTGCAATTTTCTCCCTCCAGAGCATCCAACATCCATCACTCAGTGTATTCCATAGATTTTATGCAATTTTATAGCACTGAATTTCAATCCCAGCCTGGGGTTAGTGAGCTGGTGGTTTGTGCCCCCAATGCTCACAGTGCTATTAATCTTTTAGCATGATAAATGGGTGTCAAGCCCAACACCATTAACATGGGAGAGATATAGGTGGATATCAAGAGTTCCACTTGCAACCTTTGCCACTGTTCAAGTCAGTAGTGGGAGTTCAGGAAGTAACAGACTACAGACATGTACTGGTTGGCATCAACATGCTAACAACATTCAATAAATCACCAGTAAATACATTCTGTCTGAACATGGAGCTTAGCTGGCTGTGGTAGGTCCTGCAAGACCCCATCATAGGATTCGGTCTGGATCCCATAAGAACCTCTCAATTGTGCACAAATGTGGCAAGGCAACAAGTTAAATTCTTGTTTGAGTTTAGATTGATGGCCACAAAGATATTAAGTTTTCTGGTGACTGTGTCCTCAGTGAATCCTTGTTGTCTATTAAGCATCTAAAGCTCACTAATTCTTTTCATTGCAATGAATTTTGAGCCTGGGTAGCTAAAATGATATGCAAATATAATGCACTGGTTTGTTGCTATGCCACATTTTATGTCTACTGGGTAGGTTTTTTAATCATTTGATTTATGCGGTCTTAATGCCTTGTCATGGTGTTTGCTGTATGTTAGCCAGAGGTCCTTTCTTAGACCAGAATAAACATGCCAGAATAATTAATGAAATGCCAAATTAGGACTGGAGAGGAATGCAGATGGTGCCTTCCTACCAGGATTGGAGTGGGTGGGTGAGAGCTGAGATGAATGAGCTGTTTGCAAGTGTGTATGCCAAGAGATGTTGAGGAAAGAGGTTTCTTTAAACATGGGGAAAGAAAGGCAGAGCATACCCTTGGTAAGTAAAACATCCCACCTTGGGCCCCAGACTTTTGGCCAAGTTCAGAAAAATCTCTTTCATACTACACAATTCACAACGCAAGGAGTCTGATTTAATTGTCATGGCTGCATCTTGTGGAATCCTGTAAGCTGAAGTTTATGGAGGCACTAAGGAGCTCTCTGGCGCCTTCTTAAAAAGTACATTAATTGAGATATAATGATTGGAAATAAAGCAGAATCATGATGCTATAATTCTGTAGTATGAAATAGCCTCAGGTCTCAGATCTGCTTGGGAGCCACATCCTCTGAATGGAAGCCTTAGGGCTCTTCTACATAGCCACTAAAATCCAATTTGAAACCAGCTCAAGGTCAGGATGGCTACAAAATGTATATCCTCAATGCAAACTGCAACATGAATCCAGTCCAAAACAGTGTATTAAAAAAAAACTCACCGAAAATTCCAGATCAAGCCATAAAATTCACTGAAAATGATCAGTGTATATACCACACAGAGCAGGAATTCAAGACCAAAATGCAAAGCGCTTGTGAAGGCAGGCCTAACGCTGAAGCACTTGGAGAAAGAAACCAGATAGAAATACCTCCCTCATGAGAAAACAACAGCATCCCCATGGGAACTATTGCTTTCCTGCTTTGCCTTGCTTTAGTCCAGTGCAGATTATCATAGGCAAGGCTGCTTCTTATTAGAACATCTTGCTGGATGAGTTAGAAAACAAATGTTGAATCACATTGATCCACAATTAGCAGATCTTTGTGGCCACTATCACAGTTTGGAACTAGTTTTTGGGGTGCCTCTGTAGGCACCCCACAACGAACCCCTTCTCTTCAATCCACATCCTGACTCAGATTAAATGGCTGTGTAGAAGCAGCCTTATCTCCTGTTCTTATATGTATGGGGGAAATACCAGCTTCAGTGGTGAGAAAAATGCACTTTGCACATGCTAGGAGAAAGTCTCACTGTTCATTATTTGTACATAGGGTCTACTGAGAGCATCAGTATTCAAATTGGTTCTGTGGAGCCATGTCAAGCATCCATCTTATGCAGGAACATTAAACCTGAAAGTGGATTCATGATTATCTTCTGTGGCTGATCGGGCATAGTTTCTATCCATCATGTAATATCATCAATACTTTGCACTTGTATTCACTACTTACTGAGAGCTATAACCATTAAGGCAGCAGGAACACCAAAAGCCAGAGCATAACAGTCTCCTCCAAAGCATTCCACATCCCCTGCAGTAATGAGAAACAAGATTCCATTTAATCAAGTTGCAGTTCTGAATTTTATACTTTCCTCCTACTGCCACAAAGAGGAAGGATTCGCATACCCCATTTCCCACTTCACTTGCAAGTCATGTTTCTCAGTGTTGAATGTATGTGTTGAATCAGTTTTGTGAATGTCTTACAACATCATGAAACTTTAGAAACAGCACAGCAGGATCTGTCCTATCAAAGATTTTTCAAGATGTCTCATACCCAGCATATGTTCAACCTTTCGCCATATTTGAGTGTTAACATCTACAGGTGATGGCCTTCCATATGTTTCATTGATAACAACTATGGTTTGGGGGTCTTGACTGTTGGTTTTCGGGCGAAGAAGGGTTATAGTTGCATTGCAACAGACTATTTGCCATTTTCTGTGTACTGTTATTTGTGCCCATTCTAGCCCACATTCTTAAGGGACTAGTCTGGTAATATGAATTAATCTTTTGTCAGGACTATCTGTCTGGGCATGAAATATGCACTCTCCAGGGGCACTTTCAAACCACAAAGTTACAGCATGATGAGTCAACTCTAAGTGCTATTGTTGAATACAAGTGCATAGAGTGAAAGGATTGCCTTTGGACAATGAAGGAAGTCCTAGGAGTAGCAATGAGTTAATCAGACTAATGAGTTACAAGCTTTACAACAGGAGTGGCAACTGTGATTGGTGCAAGAGCCAAATTTCATTCCTGTGGACCTGCAGCAGGCAAGTTTTATAATTCAACCCTGGAGTGATGGAAGTTAATTCCAGTTTGGATTTCCAGGGTTTCCTTAAGCTTTCAGGAGTTGAGAGGCATTAGAATTTATTTATTTATTTACAGTATTTATATACCATATTTATATACCACTTTTCTCACCCCTGGGGGGACTCAAAGTGATTTGCAAATAATAATAATAATAATAATAATGGCAAAATTCAATGCCTTAGATACATAAACCAAATCATAAATCAAACAGCATATGTAATAGAAGGCAAACTACTACTACTACTACTACTACTACTGGAAGGTCCAGGAGTAGTAATACAGCATGAGCGGTTTGAAATTTTTTTACAGATATGGATATTTGATGTGCTGGGTAAAGCATGGAGCCCACAAAAAAATCCCTGGGAGTTCCATGTGACTCACGGGTCATGCTTTCTTGCCCCATTTATAAAAACAACTGGAAGCACATTGGTTCTTGTGTCACCTGCTGCCGCTGAATTAGAAATAGCAAAAATACTTTCAATACCTTAAAGGCACTGATCTTGGAAGTTAGATAGGTCAGTTCAGATTTGTACTTGCATGGGAGATCACCAATAAAAACTTATGTTAGAGTTTGCATATACACTAGAATCTTGGGTGGCAAATAGAAGCAAAAGCTGAGGCCTAGCCACAAGTTGTAGCAAGCAGGCGGCAATGCAATGGGGGGAGGTATAAAAGGGATGTACCTCCCTTGTGTTTGGAGTTGTTGTTGTCGCTGTTGTTGTTGTTGTTGTTGGAGAAGAGTTTGGTTCAAGCATAGAGTTTGGTTATGGTGGCTGGAGTTTGGAGAGAGCTGTGTGTTGCTGTTAATATCTGGAGTCTGGTGTCTTGTGTTCCTGCCATAACTACAAGGAGGGGAGCTTGGACTCTATCTGGGGTCTCCAAGGAAAGCTTCCAGGACTCTTTTAAGGTAGCAGAAATCCCTGACATTATAGGCTATATTTCAAAAGGAGGAATTGTCAAATTCACTTCTCAGTGTCCTTGCCTTGGAAAACCTTATGAGATCTGTGAGTTTGACAGGTGGTTTATAATGCAGTGTGTCTGTGAGGGGTGTTAGGGGAGCCATTAGCCACCTTCCTGCTAGTGACATATATCACTAAAGGATATGCATGTATGTATAAGTGTTTTGGTTGTTGCAGGTGGAGGAGCTCAGCACCTTCACTTGCTATGACTCTCTCCCTAAGCGACCTACCTGGTTTTGGCCAGATACCATTTGTTGATCCAGAGAAGATAGGGAGGCCAAGAAGCAAACAGCCAAGAAGGCAACTGGCTCTACTCCAGAAGTTCAGGAAGATGTCTTTGGTTGCCTTGCTGCCCTTCATTCACCCCCTCCCCATCCTCTTTTGGTCACTGAATGCTTGGCCAAAAAACAGATACGTTCAGGTGTGAAGAGAGAACTTTATGCTCCACCAGTGCAAAGTAGGATTCCAGCTAGTTTGTTTTTGCATCCACAAATATTTGCCACCCCAGGTTTACAAGGGTAGGTGCTTCAGTCAGAACAAAGTCAGAAGGCAACCTCTGGCACTTTGGACTCAGGCCTTCCAAAAGAGTTTAGACCCCTCTCTCTCTTCCCATCTCCTCTCCTTGTATGTATGTGTATTGAGCAAACAGCAAGGGGCGCCCAGATGTGTGTGTACAGCACACAAACCCCAGCATGTATTCCTCTCTGCATGAGCAAATGAAAACAAAATTCTTACAAAGCTGAATACAGGATAAACATTTCTAATAAAATGGTTTTGATTCATCTGAAGTTCATAATACTGCCTTTGTATCTAGGCTTCATGCTGATTTGTTTATTTATTTTTCTTTCAGATGAATTAGAGGTAATTTGACCGTCTAGGAAGCAATCTGATCTATACTTATGTTATTTCTGATTTGTGGCAAGAACGGGGGCGTTTGCCTGAAGCTACAAGAAATGGGATTCTTTCTTTTTCTTTTTTTTTCCAAGGAAACCAATATATTTTCTGTTCTGCTGCTGACCACTGCTGACATACTAATTTTGTCATGACCTGTATCAACTTAAGATGCAGAATTTAAAATAATTTGTGTCTCTCCCCCCCCCCCCCCCCCGCAAAAATGCACTGAGCTGATATGTAGTTTTGCATTCTGTCTTGTACTTTAAATCATGTATAGTAAACAAGAAAATGTGCATATCTGGCTTTAGCAATTAAATCTATTTTTTTTCCCTAAAAATGTACATGGCATCCATTCATTTTTTTTAAAACTTATTATGGAAAAAGAATAGATATTGGCTTTTTGTGATCTCTATGGGATGTGAAATATAAGCTCTAATTTGTCTTCTATAGTCCATCTAGTAAATAGACAGAACTAGAACATAGGATACTATTTATTTATTTATTTGGCATATTTGTATCCTGTCTTTCTCGCCCCTGATGGGGGGATTCAGAGCAGTTTACAACAGGCAACTATTTGATGCCATCACAAAAAAATTATAAATAACAATTACAGTTAAAACAGTTAATTAAAATGTTAATTATTAAAACATTCATTTAAAATCACACAAATTCAAAATCATAGTCCAAGTCAAACCATTGTCAGACACATAGAGTCAGTCTCATTCTTGATTGCTACATTTATTATTCGAACGCTTGGTCTTGCAACCATGTTTTCAGTTTTTTTCTGAAGGATAGAAGGAGGAAGCTGATCTGATGTCATTGGGAAGGGAGTTCCACCACTGAGAAGGCCCTGTCTCTCGTCCCCACCAGTCGCATTTGCGAGGATGGTGAGACTGAAAGTAGGGCTTCTCCTGACGATCTTAGCCTTCATGGTGGTTCATAACGGGAGATACATTCAGACAATTAAACAGGGCCAGAACTGTTCAATAGCTAAAGCCCGCACTTTGAATTGTGCTTGGTAGCAGACTAGCAGCCAGTGGAGTTGGCGTAACAGAGGGGTTGTATGCTGTCTGTATTCCGCTCCGGTGAGCAACCTGGTTGCCGCCCATTGGACTAGTTGTAGCTTCCGAACAGTCTTCAAAGGCAACCTCACATATTGTGCATTGCAGTAATCTATTCAGGATGTCACAAGAGCATGGACTACTGTGGTAAAGTCAGACTTCCCAAGGTATGTGTGCATCTGGCACATAAGTTTTAATTGTGCAAAAGTTCCCCTAGCCACCACTGAGACTTGGGGTTCCAGGCTCAACTATGAATCTAGGATCACTCCCAAGGTGCGAACCTGTGTCTTCAGGGGATATGTAACCCCATCCAGCACAGCATAATGGTTTTTGCTGCAGCTAACCAGGTCTGTCAGGCAGTGCCAAGAGGGGAAATCCTCTTCCTAATATGCCTTCTTTCTAAGATGCACATTTTCTAGGATACTTGTGAATGGACACTCATATTGAGTCAATACCTGTGAATTCACATTATTAGGCTCTTTCACCAAGTGCTGCTGATCAGGTTGCATTCAATGTTTTGAATTTCATGGAAAAAATCACAGAACACTTTTGTTCATCTCCACTTATACTGTTCCTGTTCTGACTCTATTGGAACCACATGAGTTTTTAATATATTTCCATGGCTATACCTCCTACTACCTAGAAGGCACAAAGGACATAAGACCTCTGCAAGCCTCAGAAGGCATTTGGTTAAATGTAAACATATTGGAAGGCAGAAAGAGGATTACTGAAATGGGCCATTGGAGACTGTGGAGGACAGGGTGGCTTTAATAAATCTTCTGTGCACATCTACTACAATGTTCCCAAGGACCAACATAATGTAGAAAAGAAGGTAATATTCTGATGTTTTCAGATTGTTTTCTTGGATACAATCCAGAATACACAATCTTGAATCTAACTGCAATTCTCAGCTAAAGTAAGTCCACTGAATGAATGGCATCTTGGCAAGTCAACTCTTACGCAATTTCCTTGCATTGATTCAGTAGCTGGATACTGATTAGACTAGCTGATTTAGTAGCTGGATACTGATTTAGACCATTATGCCCTCTGTTCTTGTAGGAAAATCCAAAAGGCATAATTACAACAAAGTCACTCTAAAGACCCATATAGAATCATAGAGTTGGAAGAGACCTCATGGGTCATCCAGTCCAACCCCCTGCCAAGAAGCATATGATTTCTTTTCATTCAAAACTTAAATGTCAGAGGCCAAGGATATAGCATCAATTCCAGATCAGCACTGACCTCTCAACACAGGAGTAATGAAAGTAGAGATCAAACTTCCTGCATTAATAGACAGGTAGAAGACAGAGAAGAATTTGCTCCTTTCCTGGACCTAAAATGAAATCAGATCACATCAGTATCACAGATGTTAAAACACCGTTTAGAAACACAGTGCAGGATCTGTATTAGTGTCTTTATTCAATGCATTATATATACATGTTGACATGAAATCCAAGACAAGGTTAAAATCAAGGAAAGATGTAGTTTCTTCCTGTTTCCCAAATCTATGTGCATGCATACAGTTAGAAAAGTGCTCTTCTGTTTGTATGATAAAGGGGACGAAGATGTGCCAAGAGAGAGTATTTGCTTATTCAGGGCAAGCTTTTTAATTGATTGCCCATATAATTTTCTCAGTTCAGTTTGGTGATGTCTGACAGCTCATCACGCCTAGACAATATTCTTCAAAAATATAAATAAAAAAATGTACTGTAAACACACACTCATATAACTCCCATAAATCCCAGCCAGTTTGCAAGCTGTTTGGATTTCTGGGAGTAGAAGGCCAAAACATCTGGGGGCCCACAGGTTGAAAACCACTGCCCTAAAGTAATTTCTGACTTATGGCGACCCTAAGAATTTGTTCAGAGGGAGGTTCTGAAATTGTGAGTGTGATTTGTTCAAGGTCACCCAATGAATTTCCATGGATGAATAGGGAATCCAACTTTGTTTTCCCAGTGTCCTAGTCCAACTGTCAAACCACTAAACCATGCTAACTCAAGAAAGATGGATAGTGCCATGCATTATATCAGTGGTTAGAAGCATACATTTGTTGAAGGACAAGTCCTAAGCAACACTAGTTAGCACAACCAATTGTGAGGAAAACTGAGGGTGATTGTCTGACAAAACACAATCCTTACTCCTGTATTATACAGATATAAATATTGCAATGTAGGGTTGTCCTGTTAAGGACTCAAGAAGGCCAGTTATATCTTCTGTCAGAACCCCCCCCCCCCATTCCTGCTTTTTCTACCCACCCACCCCCCTTTTGAACTTTGAGAAATCTCATTTGGGGCTTTTTGTGAGTAGAGGTACAGAAAACAAGGTTTCTGTGCTGAAAATATATTTTTGCACAAAAATCCACATGATTTTATATGTGTGACCAGGAAGAAATATTCCTGGAAAAAATGAATAGTCTTTGAAAATACTTTATTCTTCCCATGATGAGAATGCCTGTAGTGTCTTAGAAGACTTTCTCAATAAAGGAAGATTGTTTTTAAAAACTGTTATTTTTTTCCGTTGAGAATGAAATTAGCAAAGCTTTACATCCCCAATTTGGACAGTACAATTTTAGCCACTCAAAAAATCACATACGGAGGATGGGTTTGCTGTTACTATATACCGTAACAGATATGAAGATCCTTTTGAAGTCCTAGTCTCACCTATGATATTGCCCTCATGGGCCTCCGATATCAACATTTAGTGCTTCCCAGCTTTTGTACTGCTTTCCTTCACTACAAAAGAATGAAATACCTGTCTTCCAAGGCTTGGTTATTGGCGGTAAGTATGCATATGCTTAAATATGCTGGCATTTTTGTTCCTGTCCTCAGTGGCAGCATTAGGATGGTATCACTCAGTATGGAAATGGATGGTGTCACACCCCCCCCCCCCATAGACCTCCCATACCAGGTAATGCTACAATATTGTAACTAAAATACCAGAAATTTGACAAAAGAAGCAACTATAATAATAAAAAGAAGCAGCAGCAATGAACAAAACATTATGTGCTTGGAGCATGTGGAGATGAAGCCCACATAATTCACAGTTTTGGTGTAATTGAGTTAAAATGAGAACTCTGGCCAGTGTGCATATGCATCAGGAGATTCAAGAAGAAATTAACATAGAGTTTTAGTCCTGTAGGCATATTGATATGGTACATGTAAGATAGGCTTACCAAAATGTGTTTATACCTCTGAAGTTGCCAACCACAGATGCAGGCAAAACATGAGAAGAGAATGCTAGTAGAACATGGCCATACAGCCAGAAAAACTCACAGCAACCCAGTGATTCCAGCCATGAAAGCCTTTGACAATGCGTTTATATTTAACATCAGGGATATTTTCTGCAGAAACACTTCCAAAAATCTATAGATAGTCATCTTGGTGTCACCCCTTCTGATGGTGTCACCTGGTGCTACTCATGCACAGCCCCCCCCCACAAATTCTCTGAAACTGAATTCAATCCATAAACTAAAAACAGTTCCCTAGTCTTGATATTTAATGTTTATATGGACAGTTGCCTTTCAGTCCTTGACTGTGTTTTGGAATTGTGTTCTGGAACACACGAGGCCACCAGGATGCTATAGATCAGTGGCTCAGCCTGGTAAACTTGCTGGGATTTCTGGGAGTTGTAAATAAAACAACTGGGAACCCATAGGTTGAAAACCACTGCTATAGATGCAAAAGATTCACACAGAAAATATGGCTTTGCACCAAAAGGTCTCGATTTTCATGATGAAACTTTGGTGCATTCACTGAGCTGCTGGCCAACTATCACAATACAGAGACATTTGACTGAGGTTGGCATGTCAAACTCTTGGGCATCCCAAAGGATTTGTCTTTGAGCATTCCAAAACAAGTTAGAAAAACCATTGAACATTTTGTGGTTGCTTCTTTTCATTAATTAAAGTGCAAGTCAACAATAAATTAACTACAAACATATATTTTCAGTTTAACATGCCACATCCCCATTCACCCAAGCTCTAAAAATGCCCGAAAAGCTCTCTGTCTCCTATACTGCAAAGTTTCAGAATAATCTCTTGAGGGATCTTTTGAAAATAAGCTGTGAAGTTGGTCCCTCTCTGCCCCAAAATGTTATAGTGTTACAACTTATCCAGTCATTAATTTGATAGTGGATGATGGGACAGGAACAAAGCTGCCAGGGAAACAAGAATTTGGTCCTACTGCATACTTGAAAAGACTGACCACTTTATTGCAATTCAGCCCCACTGCTGAATTTATGTTGAATATGGTGACAATTATAAGTTCTCACAGTTCTCTGAATTCCAAGCCAGATTATTTTTGTGTGAACAGTAGTGGGAGGGATGGCAAGATATTTAAACACTGGTTAAGTATCCCTTAGCTAGAAATCCAAAATCTAAAATTCTTCAAAATCCAAAACTTGGTGGATGAGATAATGTCAACTTTGCTTCTTTTCTGGGGGTGGAGAGGGATCAATGGCCTGGCATATGGCAGCTCTACTGCCAAGTCCCACATTGACCAGGCTGGCAAGAATTAATAAGAACTGTAACTCAATTGGAAAGTAACATTGTATGTCCCAGCCTTGTTTCAAATGTAGGGCAAAAAAGAGGGGAAGATGGAAGAAGTGAAATCCCTGGAGCTTGAACCCCAAAAGATTCAGGCATCTTGGGATGCAGATAGTGAAAAAATGAATTGCAAAATCCATGTTGCTTGTTGGAGAGGGAAGAGTAGTTATTAATTCTGTTGCTTAATTTAAGGATGTGGAGACTGATGTTGTCCCAAGGCCAAGTTCAGTTCTATTTTAAATGGATCCCAGTATTGTGGATCATAGGAAGCAAATGGGTGCCAATGCATGGATGGAACAGAATACTGAAAAAACTGTAAACTGATAATAACAAATAATTAAGAATATTTTTTGCATTGAGCATTTTTGGAGGCCAGGGAGCAATAAATCTAGTCCTTTCGAATCTCAAAGCACACATCTCAAAGCCTTCTCTGCCTAACACTATCTTTGCTACTGATATGCAAGCATATTGAGGGAATTGTGCATGTCTAGCTCTTTTCTTTTCTTTTTTGAAAGGCTGTGCAGTACACCTTGAAGGTATCCAAAGATAGTACATGAATAAATATTATGTGAGACCCACTTGAGACAATCTGCAGCTCAAATAAGCAAAAACTATTGGTCCATTAGGGAAAATGGAAAAGGTGGCAGTCTCAGTGATTTACACAGTAAATGGAGATAAAATAAGAAATGCAATACAGAATTTCTAAGTCTTCTGTTTCCAGATGGGAGCTAGGCTTTGTACTTATGAAGATGGACAGAGTGGGGAATCTCAAGACTGCAGCAAAAAAAAAATGCACTATGCCTAACAAACTACAAGTTAGTTGTAATTTAAGTTGTATTAATGCATGTAGATTTTGATCCAACTTCCTTTTTACAACAGTTCCATTGAATGCTGGGCTATTTCTGGGTGCAGTTCAAAATGTTGGTTATGACCAATAAAGCCCTATACAGCTTAGGTCTAGACTATCAGAGGCCCAATCTACACTAACCATTTAATGCAGTTCAAGGTAACATCAAACTGCAGTGCCAGACAACAAACACCCACAAAAGTATGCAAAATAAAGCCCTCATGCACATCAATGGTCTGTGTCATCACCATCTGGATCTCACACTGGTTCCAGGATTTCCTATGTAATCATCCACACAGTGAAACCACCTTCTTTAATACAGGTTTAAAACTACATTAAATGGTTAGTGTAGTGTCTTCCATGTATGAGCCTGCCTAAGGGGAACTTCCAGATAGGTCTCAAAATGTGGACCCTGACAGACTTTTACCTGAAGCATCCAAACAACACCTGCTTTGTCCCGAATTCATCCTCTTTTACCTGAGGTGTCGTTTGAATGCCTTAAGTAAAAGTCTGACAGGGCCCACATTTTGGGCCCTATCTAGAAGTTCCTTTTAGGCAGGCTCATACACAGAAGACACTACCATACCCCCCTCTCCCCACGCGCACCTTCTGACTAATCATTTTGACATGCCAGGAGGGCTGCCAGAGCAGCCTCATGGATCATGGTGACCCAGTAAGGATTTTTTTTTAAAAGTTAAGGGCTTTGGGGAGGGGATTGGGATGGTCCCATTTCAGTACAGTAGTTAACTATGCTGAAATGGGGACAAAGCCAGGGTCAACTAGTTCTTTTGTGTGCCTATGGAGACTTTAACACACTTCAGAGTGAGTTTCTTAAACTCACTCCAAATCGGGTTTAAGCCCTGTCTGGAAGCACGCTAAGTCTTGAGATCTAGAGGAAGGATACTTCTCTCAGGCCCCTTCCACACAACTGTATAAAATCCAC